CATGATGGAAAATGCTATCCACGTCCAAAGAAAGAACTATGGAGTTTGGATGCAGATTGAAGCCTACTATTTGCTATTTTTTTCTTCTGTTTTGTTTTGTTTCCTCTTTATGATGGTTCCTCCTATTGATTCTAATTCTTCCTTATAACATCACTAATGTGAAAATATATTTAATAGGAATGTATATGTATAGCCTATATCAAATTACGAGCTGTCTTGGGGAGGGAGGGGGGAGGGAGAGGGAGAAAAATTTAAAACTCCAAAGCCTATGGAAGTGATTATTGATAAATCAAAATAAATTAATAAAAAGTTTGAAAAAATCTGTCTCCTCCCCTTTTGGAGGTCCAGTGCCAAGCCAAGGAGGCCTGATCCCAATTTGTTATGCAATTGGCACGCACTGCTTAATAAATTGACATGCTTGGAAGCTCAAACCTTTGTTTCCTCAATTACTTCAGATTTCATCTGTCACATGCTGTAAAGTCTACATAGATCACTGCATTGTGAGCCCAAGGACCTCCATCCAAACCCTGGGTCCATTGCTTACCACCCCTAAGTAGGTCACTTAACCTGCCTGGGCTTGGGCTGCTTCACGAGCCAAAGCATAGAACTGGATTGGATCATCTCTAAAGTCTCATCTGAATTTAAATCCAAAGATCCTACATAGGGAGTTCGAGTATCATTGTGCTTGTTTTTCACAGATGAGGAAACTGAGGCTTTTAAATAAGTCATTTGCCCGAAGTCCCCTTGTTAATAAGTATAAAGGCCTGTTCTAAACTCGGTTCTTACTTGGCACCAAATCTAGTGTTCTTTTCCATTACCCTTTGCTTCTTCGATGCAAGATGGGAAGCCAGGCAGACTTCAGGAACCCTGGACACCAGCAAAATCTGTCCAGCAGGAGCCTGGGCAATGGTGCTTAAGAGCACAGATGCATGGGGGCCGGAATTTGAGCAGGCACAAGTTTAGAAAGCACATGGATGTGTGAACGAGGGTAATGAACAGCTATTTGTCAAAGTGAAAAGGTTGAACCCAGTTCCTGTTCTCTACCACTCCTTAGTGTATTCCAGGCACTGGATATATGTTTGTTAATAACACCTTAAAAAGCACTGTAGATGGCCTATTTTTATTTAATGTCTAATAAAAGGGAAAACTGTTTACATTGCACCTATCAACTAGATACTGCACAACAGATGGTGAGGCCAGTCACTCCCAACGGCAACTAAAAGCCAAAGCTTTTGGAAACACCACACTTCACTCAGCCCCTTTCCCTGGGTAAACTGGAGAGTGGTGAAACACTCCATTAAGCTAACTTCTAAGACAGGAATGGAAAGGAAGAAGCTCAGGGAAGTCAAGAACTTGGCATTCTTGGGGACAAGGGTGGTGAGAAATCGTGAATTCTAGGATGGTCTACTTTCATTTCTAGTGGATTGGAAGCTTCTTGCCTGTGAGCTCAAAGGTCACCCAATCAGAGCCACTTAATTGGAATCCTACCTCTCCCTACAAAACATCTGTGTGGCCTTGGAGACTGGAGTGAAGAGGAACCCAAAAGGCCCAGCAAGAGACTGGTACCAGCTAGGTCCTGGGGCAGCCTCTCCCCAGAGCATCATGGATCTGCTCTATCTGCCACTGTGCCTGAAGCTCCCTGGATACATCCCTTGCCTGCCCTTCCCCTTTGGACAGCTGGTCCTGGACCCCGGATAGGAGACAGGCAAAGTGCACTGGACTAGCTGCCCTAACTTGGGAGGTGTCAGCTGCTACCCCAAGGGGGTGGCAATGCTTGCAAAGCAAACCATAACTGCCCTTGCTGCCCTTACCTCCAACTCTGGGCACTTGTAGGTGTCTCCTGGCCAGTAAGAGGGCCATGGACTGGTTCTTCCGGTAAGCATTTTTAAGTTCTAGCCACAGACCCGCCAGTGACCTAGAGCAAGTCATTGCCCCTTTCGCGGTCTGTTAACCCCTTCTATAAAATGAGGGCTCGAGCAAGATGACCCCTCCGGTCCTTTCCAGTACGATGGTTCCGATATCTTACGGGTTAATGCTGAATGGAGAGGCTGGGATCACAACACAGAAACCTTCCTCCGTGTAAGCTCTTTTCCCTTGCTATGTGAAGTAAGGCTTGAGAGTAGCCGGGGTAGGGAACAGTTATCTGAGGCTGCCTGGTCTGATGGCTGCCCTTTCTCTGGCTTGGGTCTCTTGCTCAGTCCTACGTTCTGTTCCTTTCCAGGACCTTCACTATAGATTTCACATGAGCTCACAACCCAGGACCTGCTGTGTCTCGTGTTTCTTCATCGAGCAAGTGGGCAAGTCATAGGATTTTCCTGGCTCTAAGGTGAGGGGTTTGGCTGAGCTCTGGCGTCCCCTTTCGCTCTGACTCCTCTGATCCTTAAGGCTTGTCCTGTCTGTGCCACCTTTAGGATCTCCCTCTTCCTTTCCCTTTAAAATGGCAGGACCTAAGGCTCAATGGGACCTGGAGACAGTTTGAGGCAGAATCTTCCCTCCTCAAGAAGTTACTTTCTCTTTCCTGTCCATTGTCCTGGCTCACCTTCCCTCTGGTTGTCATGGCAGTCCCTCTGACCTTGCCGGCAGGTTGAGGGAACTTCAATTAGACAAAGATTAAGTGTCTATTAGGAACAAAGTTCTGTGCTCAGTTTGGGGAATGCTGAGATTTAAAAGGGCAGTTTCTGTCCTTAGGAAGCTTGGAATTTAATAGGTGGCATAGGAACGTACTCAAATATGATATGACGTACATGTGTTTGGGGCAAAAGGAAACCTTTAGAAAAGAGGCCATGAGGGAGAGAACAATTTGAGTCAGAGGCCGAGGGGAGGCTCAAAGAGCCTTCACCTGGGCCTTGAACAGAGGGACACTGACCGAGATGGGAGGGCTCCATGTAAGTGCATGCTCCAGATCCGTGGGGGTACCTTAGGGTATGGGGGAAGAGGTGGGAATTGTCCCAGGAATGGACAAAGGCAGCACCTAGGGCAGGTCAGAATTAGCTGGAGGAGCTCTGATCGCCAAGATCAGGAGTCCATACTTGAGGCATGGGGAGCCCACAAGTTTCTGAGTGGCGAAGCAATTAAAGCAAGGTATCAGCTAGACTCCACCAGCAGTGCTGTGCATTGGAAAGAGCAATCCTGGCAGGCAGGAAGCCCAGCTTGGCTTATGCAGCTCTCTGGAGGCCACCAACTCCATTCTTATCAATCCTGGCTTGGAAGTCAGTCAAGGCATTCACCCCTGCCCAGGCCAGAAAAGCAGCACAAACAGAAGGCGGCTGGGTGGTCCCTGGGTCCCTTGAATCCCAGATGAGTGGAAAGGGTAAGCTTCCTAGCACTGAGCCTGAGGGGACGATCAGGCCAGAATCTAATAGGTTGTGGACTGTTGTTAAGAACAGAGCGGGGAGCACAGCAGAACACCCCACCCAGTGACCCAACACCCAGTGCCGGCTCCTCTTCCGTGCAGGAATTCCCCCAGCTTTATTTGTTCCCTTTATGTTGCGTCTTTCATATACATCCATAGTCAGGATACTTGCCACAATTCCTAGTTCTTGTAATCGTGCTAATTCTAAGCACTTTGTTTACTCACATCAGCATTTTCTCTTGAATTATGAGCTACTAAGAATCATCCCTTGCACAGATGCAATTCAACAAGCTTTTGCTTAGCACCTACTATGTGTTGGGCTAAGGTAGGACCCGGGGATACAAAGATGAGGAAAAAACTCAATCACGCCTGCCTTCAAGCTCATCATCTCCAGGGAACAGGACTGAGATGTTCTTTTTAACTCCTGTGGCTCTTGTGAGGTAGGTAAGACAGCGATCAGCACCCCCATTTTGCAGACCAGTAAATGTGGGGAGTGGGTGACTTGTCCAAGAGCACGTGGCTTACCACTGGTGGGGTAGAGACTCAAACCTAGGTTCTCTGCCTCCCTGATTCCACGTCCCCAGCTCTTTTGAGAAGAAAAGTTAGTCAATTGGGGATTTAATACATTAAGATGAATACGGAGCACTTCCCTGGCCGGGCACCTTTTTATGATCACATCCTGCTCGGTGCTTGGCTGTGCTCACCCTCCTGCAGGGCGGAGGGGATGAAGCCAGCAGAATGTCTGATTAGATCCTGGCTCCATCATGGCAAATTAGTTACCCTCAGCCTCTTTCTTCACCTGCAGAATGGGAAGGCCTGACTTCACATAATTATTGTCAGGGGAGTGGGGAGGGTGGGACCCGTGATGTCATCAGTATGGGGTGCCTTCCCCTACCCCCCCAGAATTCAGAGCCTTGCAGCAGCCACGGGTACTGAGAGCTGTAGAGCCCAGGGCCCTACGCCACGTGGGCCAGCTGGGAGGATTTGCTGTTGCCCAGTTGCAGACATCCCTGTCCTCACTGGCCTTATTGACCAGTTCATCTCAGAGGTTCACCTGTCTCTCTGAGAGAACATCCTCTGACTGTAGAAATGCCAGCTCTCAGGATCCTCCCTTCAAGTCCTCCTTCCATGCCACTGTGGCACAGCGGTTACCCCTAGGCTTTCAAGCACTCTGCCGGGGGGAGCAGGCCCAAGGAGGTCCTACCAAGCTGCAAAGGCTTGTGAATGGGGCCTGGGGACAGTCACTCATCTGAAAACCAGCTGACCTAAGTGCAGACCAGACCATCTTCAAAGGGTGTCCATCAAGCAAAGGATTTTTCTGCCCACAAAGATTCATACAACCATCTACTAAAGCACAGAAGGGTAGTGACCTGTAGTCATGAAGAGAGTAACCATACTGATAAAATCAGAGATTTTTGGAAGCAGAATTATTCTAACAGCTTGGAAGTAGGAAGCGAGATTTTTACTGAAACTAAGCCTCGGGCTGAGTGAGGATTCCCCTGGGCTCTAGGCTCCCCCATGGGCTGACCCGACGAGCCGGCTTCATCCTGTCCTATTACAATGAGCTCTTGGGGTGTATTCGGGAGTCTAGAGAGGAGGGCTGGGCCACGCGGATAAAAAGACAAACCACCACCAAGGCCATACAAGCTGAGATATAAGGAGTCATTTTATGAGAAGTGATGAGTGAAGGCCATACTCTGGGACATGGGGCCTGCTACAGCCCGGCTCGGTGGTGGGAAGCAGCAGGTGAAGATTTCCCTGGGCACTGCAGCTGTGACCAGGGTCTAACATTTGTCCTTGCAGGGTGCTGCCCTTGGGCCAGGCCAGAATAAAGCTCAGCTTGGCTTCTCAAAGAGGTACTCGAGATCTGGGGCCCGCAACCTCCGCTCCTTATTCTTATTCTTGGCAAAGTCTCTCAGCATCGCCATGACATCGTTTTCAAAGATCTCAGGGGCTGGCTTTGCTTCTGCAGAACAAGAGAAGATGAAGAGATAAGACACAGAGCTCAGGCCTCAGTTCTCAGCCCCAGCGCTCAGGGTGAGCTGCCTCTGCAATGAGCAGGCCCAGACCCAGCCTAGCCCAGCTGAGCCTGGGACTCAACTCAACCTCTCTTTGTCCCAGGGACGCGTTTCCTGCTTGTTTCCAGGGTATGTAAAATTCCCCAGACTGTGCCTTTTCTTCAGGCAGGGACTTTTATCCCGAGGCAGCTGTGGGCGGAGTTAAGTGAGACGCACCAAAGTGGAGAGTTCAAATCAGCTTCTTACTAGCTGTGTGACCCTAGGCAAGCCACTTTACCTGTCTGCCTCAGGTTCCTTAACTATAAAAAAGGGATACTAGTAGCACCTGCCTCACAGGTCTGTTGTGAGGATCCAATGAGATCGTGTTTGTAAAGTGATTAGCACAGTGCCTGGAACACAGTAGATGCCACTTGCTATTATTATTAGTTGCTGAGGTTTTTAGTGTTATCAGGATTGATCCTGCATCACTTTCTCACTGATCCTATTTACAAGTAACTGCTTTTGTGCAGTAACTGCCTAAGTCACGATTTTTTGTCTCTGCACTTAGCTGGCCTGTAATGGGCTCCGTCAAAAACTCCAGCTCCCCTGCTCAGGAATGTTGGTAACCCTGGGGAATGTGTGAGAAAGCAAGGGAGTCTGGGCCTGATAGCTTTACCCCACCAAGCCACCCTCCAAGGATGTCTGATTTGCCGTCCACAAGTCTGGGCCGCTATCTCACACCTGCACTCAGACAAAGAGCCCTTCTGAGTCCCCTGAGAGACGAAGGGGGGGCACTGCTAACCCCCATTACCAAACTTCCAACCAATCGGTGCCTCGGCTCTGTAACCAATCAGGTTGCTCTCAATGCCATGATGTCCTCTACCCTGCTCGGGTAAGGGAAACTGTCCTTTTACTCAGGGTCTCTGGCATTAATGGGGGAAAGCCACTGACCCATTTATTGACAGGTAGCATGTCCCAGCTAATAAATATTATCTTGCTCAGAGATCTGCCTCAATTTGCCCTGTTGCTGAAATCTCAATTGTAACAGGACTGAAGTCTGATTTGATTAGAAAAACAAATCACATGGGTAATTTGGGAAACCAGTGCCAAGTGCTTTCTTATTGTAAGAAGCCCTTTCTGAGAACAGCAATCTTTTTTTGATTCGGCAATGGGGTTAAGTGACTTGCCCAGGGTCACACAGCTAAAAAGTGTTCAGTGTCTGAGGCCAGATTTGAACTCAGGTCCTCCTGACTCCAGAGCCAGTGTTCTATCCACTGCAAGAGAACAGCAATTTTGTTGCTTTGACTCTCCCTGTTGGATACAAATTCCTTCAAGGTGGGGACTTTCTTGCTTTTTAAATGTGACCCCATGTGGAAAAACTGGGACACTAATGCACTATTGGTAGAGCTGAGAACTGATCGAACCATTCTGGAGAGCAATTTGGAACTACGCCCGAAGGGCTATAAAACTGCACATACCCTTTGACCCAGCAATACTAGGTCTGTATCCCAGAGAGATTAAAAAAAAAAGAGAGAAAAGGACCCACATGCACAAAAATATTTATAGCAGCTCTTTCTGTGGTGGCAGAGAACTGGAAATTGAGAGAATGTCCATCAATTGGGGAATGGCTGAACAAGCTGTGGTATATGAATGTGATGGAATACTACTGTGTTATAAGAAATGATGAACAGGCTGACTTCAGAAAAACTGGAAAGACTTGTATGGACTGATGCAGAGTCCAGTGAGCAAACCAGGAGAACGCTGTGCACAGTAACAGCCACATTGTGTGATGAACAACTGTGAATGACTTAACTACTCCCAGCAATACAATGATCCAAGACAATTCCAAAGGACTCATGATAAAAAATGCTTTCAGTCTCCAAAGAAAGAACTGATGAAATCTGAATGCAGGGCGAAGCATACTATTTTTCATTTTCTGTACTGTGTATGTGTGTGTGTGTGTGTGTGTGTGTGATTTTTCCTTTGGGTCTATGTCTTCTTTCACAACATGACTAATATAGTAATACGTTTTGCATGACTGAATATGTATAACCTATAACAAATTGCTTACTCTCTTGGAGGTGGGAGGTGAGGGAAGGAGAGAGAAAATTTGGAAGTCAAAATTTTTAAAAAAGAATGTTAAAAATTGTCTTTACATGTAACTGGGGAAAAATAAATTATTTTTTAAAAACTGTATCCCCAGGACTCAAAACAGGGTCTGCCCGATAGTAACATTTAACAAATGCTTTTTCATTCTTTCTTTGTCAACAGAACAATGGTGACATTCTTGCCACCACGTTCTTAGGCAGCACTGACCGCACAGTGTCTAACGCTGGTGTGGTTTGGTGGAACGAACCCTGGGCTTGCAAGTGAGGAGAACTGGACTCCCATTTCAGCTGACACACTTATGAGGGGGATACCCATGGGCAAGCCCACTATTTCAGAACCTCAATTTCCTCATCTGTAAAATGGGGATAACATCCACTCTCGCAGCAAAGTGTATTATAAGCCTCAGGGTCCTCTAGAAATGAAACCCAAAGCTTGGCTAAGGAGACAGATGGGGGAGCTCTCCTTCATTCTACCCTCTTCCTCTGACAGCACACCCTGGGTTGCTGTCATCCATGCCTTTCCAGAAATGCTCCAGAGGATGAAGGCAACGTGCTGTAGGCCTCTGAGCTGGACATATCACAGTCTGATCCCCTCATTTTACATCTAAGGACACTGAGGACCAAGGCGGCTAAGTGATGTTAGTCACACAATCAGGATTAAGCAGGAGAACCTGAATTTGAACCCTGTTTGTCTGACTCCAAATCCAGCTCTTCCCAAGCTCTCTGGCTCCTGCGCTCTTTCTTGGATACCAGCAGCACCCAAAACAACAGGAGCTACTACAGGAGGCTTCCCAGGTCCTCTAAGTAACAAAGTGTATTTTTTTAAGCTTCGCTGACAGATTAAACAGAACTTGTCTGAACGATGGCACAAGGCTCAAACATAAAACAAGATTCATTTTTAAAATTTTCTTTTGTGCCTGAAAAACAAATCTTATTCCTTGGTGGACTGTTCCACGGGCTAGCTAAAGAACACCAGGCCCACCTCACAGGGAAGTGGTAATCACAACGGCCGGAGAATCAGATGACCCGAGTTTGCAGCCTGGCTTGGCTACTGCTCATGTGACCTTCATCGAGTCACTGAAATCCCAAGGGGGGTTGGCCCCTCCAGTTCTAACCTGTATGATGACACCATCTATGTCCTTGGTGTACACGTATGTAACGTGGCGGGGACAGATCAAAGTCCAGGGTTACTGTGTCTGTTCTAGGAGCTGAGATCTAAGAGGCAGCTTGTTACCCTGAACAGGACCAGAAAATATGGGTTCAAATCCCGGCTCTGCTTGTTAAAAGTCAACTTGATTAGAAAAGTCACTTCGTCTTTAAGACTCTGGTTACCCTGATGTAAAACAAGGAAGCTGGACCAGATAACCTCTGAAATTCACTAACTGTGACGGCATGTAGGCCTGGTCTCTGGTCAAGAACCAAAGAGAACACAGCCTTCAAGATCAGCTAGCTCCCATGGACCCCCATTTTGCTGCGCTCCAGGGTTTCACCAAGGGAATGTAGCCATCAAGGCAGAAGGACCCTTGGGCCACTTAGTACAATCCTGTCATTTGTCAGAGGAGGCCCAGTTCAGTGATACGTCTTGTGTCAAAGCCAAACTGGAACCCAGGTCCCTGACTCCAGGCGGTGGCGGCCAGCTGGCAGTACCTGTTGCCCAGTAGTAGATATCCCAGTCGTTACTGGGCTCATTGATCAGTCGGTCATAGAGGTTCAGCTGCCTCTCCGTCATTTGGTGTAGATTCTCCTTGGCAAAGAGGCTAGAAGAGGAGAGGAGAGAAAGGGACTCAAGGGGCTGCCTGTGGCTGAGGGGCCGGGTGGGTGCAGCTGCCCAGGGCTCCCACTTCCCCACCTGAGCAGGATGCAGTTCTCCAGCATGCCTCGCTTCCTGCTCTCATAGAGCAGGCGAGCCCTCTTGGTTTCAATCGGCTCATCTGTTCGCTCCTCCCAGGGGGGTAAGGGGATTTCAAGCATATCCTTTTGAGAGTCTGACGGGCTCTCCCCTCGGAAGAATCGTCTGGACGATGGACCGCCCACAAAGGGAGACAGGAGAGTGTGCCTGGACGAGGCAAGAAGCTGAAAGAAAAAAACAAAACAAAAACAAAAGCCAGACTGAATCAAGCAGCACGCCATTCAACTCAATAAACATTTATTAAATCCCTACTACGTGCCAGGGACTGTACGCTGAAAAGAATGTGCAGATTCATAAAATGCTGAACTTAGATGGGACACAGCTGACCATGGGCAGGATGGACGAGAAGGGGAGTGACTGGAGGCTGAGAGACCAGCCAGCTGCTACGCCAGGTAAGAGATGCGCTAATTAAATTCAACAAACATACAGCTGCTAGGGTCAAGGAACGGTGCTAAGCGCTGAGGATACAAAGGCACAACCAGAACGGTCCCCGACCAGGGTCGACATCCACTCTACGAAAGGGATCATGAGGAAGGGAACAGTAACGGAGGGGGAGGTAGAAGCGGGGTCCGAGTTGAACACCGAAGGAAGAAGACGACTCTCTGAAAGGCACGGATGAAGAGGGAAAGCACTCCAGGCACGGGACGGTTTGTATATGAACGAAGGCATGGCCTGTGAGATAGCACAGCCAATGGAGGGAACAGCCGGTAGTCCAGTTTGGTTGGAATAAAGAGTGTATTAGGGGACAACGCTGAAGCTAGAAAGGTCTTTTTCTGGTGCTTCGTATACAGAAATATTAATGTTTGTCAAGTGACCGTAATAAAGAGCATTACGGGATTTGAAAAATAAATCTGGAAAGAATGGTTAGCGCCAGACTATGGACAGTTTTCACTGCCAGGAAGAGGAATTTGTATTTTCTCCTGGAGGCAGGAGGGGTTCAGGTGCTAATGTTTGAGAGCTGGGGAGTAACATGGCCATGACTCATGAAGGATGGATCTATACGGAGAATGAACGGAGAGAAGACCGGAGATGGGAAAATCACCCGAGATGGGATAAAATTGTCCAGTGGGCAGCGATAAGGGCCTGAAAGAGGAAAACATCCACGGGAAGGGAGAAGAGAGAATAGATGTGAAATACTGCGCAGAGAAAACTGACAGGACTAGGGAAATGACCAGATGAAGAGGCTGAAGAAGACTCAAGGTTATGAACCCAAGTAACCTCAACGTGGAAGACTGTGGTGTTCTCAACAGAAATTCAGTTTGGGGGCAGATGAGAAGTAGTGTGGTTTAGTGGAAGAGAACCTGGGTTTGACAGTCCCATCGGATATTTACTATCTCTGGCCCTGAGTTTCCCACGTATCAAAGGAGGTTGGACTAGTAGATAATCTCCAAGGGTTCCTTCTAGTCTAAATTCTGATGACCCACCATTCCTATGAGCTGCAACTCCCTCTTATCTCCTCTCTCTCCCTGGTAGAATTTGGAGTTGGAGGAGTAGACTTAGGGGCTAGCTCTGTCCTTATCTCGCCCAGGCAAGTTATTTAACTTCTCAGGACTAAAGCTGATCAATGGCCCAAGGACAGGAACGAGACAGCCCAAGTTATCTAGCTATGTACAATATCTATATCTAATCCAAGCTGTATGGAAAACTGCTCTAAATCACTAACGATTAGATACGCACATTAAAGCAACTGAGGTTATACCTCAGACTCATCAAATTGACAAAGCTGACAAAAGGGGGAATGACAAATGCTGAAGGGGCTGAGAAAATAGGCCCGCACATGCGCTGTTGGGGAAGCTGGAACCAAAGCCTTTGACTCCACAATACCACTCCTAGGCCAGTGCTCCAATGATGAAAGAGAAATGGACATACATAGACAAAAATGTCTGCTGGACGCTTTCTGTAGTGGCAAAGAGCTAGGGGGTACCCATCAATTGAGGAATTGGAGAACAAATTGTGGTGTATGAATGGAATGAATACGACTGTGCCACACCTGTATGCCTATTATGAGGCAGGTTGCCACTGGACACAACCAAACAACAATAAGCCAGGCACTGTGCTAAGGGCTTTACAGACATCTGATTTGATCCTCACAACAACCTGGGAAACATAACTTGGGAGGTAGGTGCTATTATTATCCCCATTTTACAGATGAAGAAACTGAGGCAAGCAGAGGTTAAGTGACTTGTCCAGAGTCATATTGCTAATAAGCCTTTGAGGCTGAATTTTGAACTCAGGTCTCCCTGACTCCAGGGCTAGTGTTGTATCCACCCACCAGGAGAACAACTTGTACGATAAACACAACAACCTGAAGACTGAGGGAAAAGAATGCCACTTCCTGATAGAGAGAGGATGGACTAAATATGCAGAGAGAGACATTTCTGGACTTGGCCAAAGTGGGAATTTGACCATGCAGAGGGTAAAAAAATAAATGCTTAAATGAAAAACAAACCTAAAAACCTTCTCCGGGCCTCGGTTTCCTCACCTGTATTATGAAAGGGCTGGGCTAAAATATTCTCTAAATTCCCTTCCAGCTAAAACTCCTATGAATGACCACGATTTGGAAACTGAGTACCAAAGGTGAAGTGATGTGCCAGGGAGGAAATTAGAACCACAGCTTCCAGAATAATTAGGTCTCATATGAAACAGGTCCTGGCCTTGGTATGTAGGACCATGACAGAAAGGGACCTAGCTCCCCGCCCAGTCTTGGACTGTACAACCTCAGTCCTTCACATCACAATCCAAATGCTCAAGCCTTGGGAGGGTGACTTCCTCTCCCAGTCTTTGCAGGGGATAGGTCTCCTTTCTCTTGGGGCATTCTCGTCCAGTGAGTTCAAAGGGACCGCCACAACGTTAAAGAACTTGGAGAGCAATGTATAGTATTACAGCTGAGGGCTCTCACAAGTAGCCTCATGTTATTTACTCCATGATCTTGGCTGAGGAATAAAGCAAGAAATAGGAGCTATCCAAGTACTTCTCCTTTAGCCTGCAGACCCTGTCTCTAGGTTGGGGTGAAGAACCTTCAGCTTCGAGGTCACATGTGGCCTGCTCTAGGTCCTGATCCCTAGGGCAGATCTTCCTAAAGAGTCTTCCCTCCAATTCTAGATTAAATCTTTTTACAAAAAACAAAAACAAAAACATGAGGAACCAAACACAATTCTTGTCTGAGCTTTGAGCCGCTCCTTGGTTTCTGGCTGAAAAGTACCAACATCCTCATGACTCCAGGACCTTCCTTACCAAAGCAGTGTTTATGTTCGACCTCTCTAAGCCAGCCACTTCCCTCCTCCTCCTCCTCCAGTCCCCAGATAGCTGTTTCTGAAAAAGGCATTCCAGACTCCTCTTTCCCTTTCCACCCAACCACCCGGCATCCCCTTCCTGCACCCCTTTGACTTCTCATTAAAACTATTCAGACTTCATACAATCAAAGAATGCCGAGTTTAAGTCCCTAATTCTACAGAGGAAGAAAGTTGGCTGCCCAGAAGTTCCATTAGAATAGGCTCCACCATTTGCATGTTAAAGGCCAACTCCACAGCTTTCATTCAATCCAACAACTATTTGCATCTCAAAAGAGCCATCCAGGCTAGGGGTAAAGCTCCAATTCACCACCATTTTGGGGGGCAGGGAATATTTAAGGGAATCTACCAGAGATGGTTAAAAAAGAGGTGCTAAAGTGCCTAGGTAGGAGTGTGGTCAGTAAGATCCAGACACCGTGGGACTTGATCTTAAAGGAATTTTGCTGTTTATCATACACTATCTTGTGCTTTCATCTTTGTTGTAGTTTAGTCCTGTCTGACTCTCCGTGACCCCATCTGAGGTTTTCCTTGGCAGAGGTACTGGAGCAGTTTGCCATTTCCTTCTACAGCTCATCTGACAGATGAGGAAACGGAGGCACACAGAGTTAAGTGACATGCCCCAGGGTCATACAGAGTCTGAGGCAGGATTTGAACCCAGGCAGGTGAATCTTCTGGATTCCAAGCCCAGACCCACCGAGCAAGACCTTATTTAAGCCCCTGGACAGCGTACCGAATGCCACTTCGGCCTTATCTTCCACAGCACCAAGCCAGCACAGTGGCTAAATCCTTGCCAAATTCATTCATTTATTAATCTGATACACATTTTATTAAGCAGCTGAGAGCCATAAAACAGGACAACGGCAGGCCCCTCATTTCTAACGGAGCTTCCCTTCTGGGGAAACCCTGCCTTCTTCCGCGCATTCCTCAGGCGCAAACTGCGTGCTGGGCACTGGGCTCCCTCCAGGCCGCCGTACAAACCGGGCCGGGCCCGACACGCGGCAGGAGTGGCGGTGACCCGGAAGTGACCCGGGACGGAAGGGGGGGGGCCTCGGCTTCCAGCCAAGCCCGGACGGCCCCTTTACAAAGGCGAGGACCACGGGGCCTCCACTGAGGACGAGCGCGCCCGGCGCTTCGTGCAGAGGCCACGGGAGGGACGGAGGGCCCAGGCCGCCGGGCGCTGCCTCCGGCGCTTCCCAACGTTCACACGCGTCATCTCCCCAGATCCTCGCAGCCTCCCCGGGAGGGAGGAGCCGTCGGCATCCCCGCCGGGCCGACGAGGGAGCCGACGCAGCGCCGAGGGCTTGGGGCAGGATCGGACCTTCCGGAGCCGAAACCGGGCCCGGGGCCGCCTTACAAATGGGGAAGCCGAGGCCCGGCCCTCATTCCGGGCAGGGCCGGCCCGGCCTTCCCTCCGGGGCTCCGCGGCCTCCCCCCACCCGGCCTCGGCCCGCTCTCCTCACCCGAAGCGCGGACGCAGCCGCAGCCGCCACCGCCGCCATTTCCGCTCAGGCCCGGCCGGAAGCGCGTCCGCCCGCCACATCCGGGGATCTCGCGCCGGTCCCGACACGCTCGCGGGGCCTCGGAGGGGAGGTGGGAGAGGCGGGGCTGGGCGCGCGTGCGTGCCGCGTGTGTGCGTGGGGCGGCGGCGCGCGTGACGCCAGCGCGTGGCGCGGGGAGGGGGGACCGCGGCGGCGGCGGCGGCGGTGGCGGCGGCGGGAGCAGGGGGCGGGGCCTGTGGCCGGGCAGAGGTTCGCGCGCTTCGGGCCTAGTCCGGACTCGCCGCCGCCATATTCCCGGTAACGGGGGCGCGCGGCGGGGGGCGGCGGGGGCCGGAGCGCGGAGGCGGGGGCTCGGCGGCGGCGGCGGCGCGAGGGCTAGCGGGGCGGGCGGGGCTCGGAGGGCGGGCGGCGGGGCCGGGCCTAGGCCCAGGCTGGGACGGAGCCCGCTCTGAGGCGGCGGCGGAGGCGGCGCTGGGGCCCGGTCAGTCCTGGGCGGCGCGCGGCCCGCGAGCGCCGAGAGACCAGGCGGGGAGGCCTCATGAGGGCTGGGGCGGCGGGCGGGCCTAGACCCCGAGGGATGGGGGAAGGGCGGGGGGGAATCAGGCTGCGTGGAGGGAAGATTTCCCCCCCACACACACACCAGTCCTCCCCCCGAGAAAGCAGGCGGCGGGCGGGACTAGGCCCGGAGAGATGGGGGGGGCGGAGAGAAGTCAGGCTGCGTGGAAATCAGGGGGCCACTGCCCCCCGCGGAGGCTCGGGGGGCGGGGAGCAGAAAGCAGGCTGCGTGCCGAGGCGGAGTCGGCCCCCTCACCCTCCCCCCCCAGCCGCGGCGGGCAGGGGGTGTCCGAGGACGGGGCGCGCCCCCTCCCCGCCCGCCCCGGCCTGACTCGCCCCTTTCTCCGGACCGCAGCGGCAGCACCGCCACCTTTCTTCCTCGCGGCGCCCCCGGGGTCCCGGAGCCATGTCGGAGGGAGTGGACCTGATCGATATATACGCGGACGAGGAGTTCAACCAGGTGAGGCGGCGGCGGCGTCTGGCCGCGACCCCTGACCCCGGCCAGGGGTGAGGGAGGGGCTGGGACCTCGTGGCCGGCCTGGAGATGCCCCGTGAGCCCCCTCCCCTCCCCGGAGCTGCCCTGGGGGGCCTCGCTGCACCCCTTGGTGCTTTGCAGTGAACTTGAGCCCCCTTTGCTGGCCACGGTTAACTGAGGCTGGGGGAGGGGGGGGCGGGGACCCAAGCGGTCACACATAACCGGGGCCGCCGGACTGGGGGGGGGGGTTCCTGAAGAAGATCGTGTGGGGAGTGTGTGTGCCAGGTGCCAGACTGCCGTGGTGCCCCGTTCTGTGCTCCTGTTTGAAAGAACGGTATCGAAAACGTTTGGAGGGTTTGGTTTTTTTTCGGAAAGAATCTTCTTTGTGATGTAGCTGTGAACTTTACTCGCGTGTCTCAAAATCCACGAACGTGTGCCCCAGCTAAAATTTTATTTCGTTGTGTGCTGGCCCAATCCATCCAGGACCTGGTATCAGGAAGACTTGCTTCGCATCCCACCTCCATGTTGTCTGGGCAAAGGCTAGATCCCTTAAACTCTCTGAACCTCAGTTAACTCGACTGGAAAATGGTAATAATGGTAATGCACGTTTATGTAGTCCTAAGTCGTTTGCAGAGAGCTTTCTAGGTTCCTGGTAGTATCTGCTTCATAGGATTGTCTTGGGGCTCAAATGAGAAGTCCTATCGCACTTTGTGGAACTTTCAAGTGCCCTGTAATGTAGTTTTGTTATGCCTTGAAATTTCAGCTGTGGAAGTTACTCTTTTCATTGTTATCTTCCAAACTGTAACCTGGTCTGGGGACCAGGGAGGAAGGTGGAATCTGCCCTAGGAAGAGGGCAGAGAAAGGCAGGGTCAGTTTCCTTGGAGGTAATTGTGAAGAATGGCAAGGATATCTTGCTAACCAGACTCTGTGGAAAAATGCTTCTAAATTATGGGCACCTCTGTTTTTAACTTGTGCTCAGTAAAATGACCATTCCCCTCCCAGCTTAATGGCCCACACAGGCAAAGATGGCAATAATGATTTTTTTTTTTCCTTTTTCAAAAATGCCCAGTAGAAAAATGAGGAAAGTAGGGTCGTGTGGAAGGGAATTTACAGGTTACGTAGTCTAACCCTTATTTTACAGATGAGGAAACTGTGACCTAGAGAAAGGGAAGTGGCCACCCATGGACATACAGGTAACAAGGATCCAGTTAGGAATCATTCCAGTCTACCGTGTAGCAGCCCAGAGCTACTACTTTTGTTTTATGGCATTTAGTCATGGCTATTAATACAAAATAAGACATACAATAGTTTCAGGCCAGAGCTGAGAAGAAGCTCAGAACTTGGCCAGTTTTTGCATTATCCAGGGAGGAAACTGAGGCTTAGACGAATGAACTTAAGGTCATGTAACAAGTCAGTGGCAGGGCTGAGACTTGAATAACCCATGAGACAGGCCATTTCCTGATGCTGCTGTTTTCCTTATCTTTTAAAAGCCTTCAGAGTCAGACTGTCTCAAAAAAGATGGCAGGAAAGGAAGAATTGGAACATTCTTCCATTTCTCCTGCCAGTGGGTACCATTTGCACTTTATCTAGACAGTTAAAGGGAACCATTCTTCCTTCATAGAACTGTAGATTTTGAGCTGGAAGGGATCTTGGGGAGTGTCTATTCCAACTCCCTCATTTTATACGTGAAGAAATAAAGGGTTTAGCTTCTCAGTCTCACCTAAGTATAATAAAATAGTTGAGTCAGTCTTTGAGCCCAGGTCTTGTGACTCCAGATAGGGCTATTTCCACTACGACACATTGTCTCTGCTGGAAGAAGACTCGGAGCAGCCCATCTGTCTTGTCCCTGCTCTGTCAGGTGTTTTCGAGTTTTCCCAAGCTCTGTAATGATGAGCACAGAAAGAAGTGGCTCTGGCTCTGGAGTAGTTTTCTCATCTTTCGGTCTGATTCTTAGTTGCATGTAACTTGGAAGGGCTCTTTTCTAGCTCTCCCGGAAACCGAGGATGACCGTGGGGCAGCCCTGCCTATAGCTGTGTGGCACCGGGCACTGAGCACTCACTGATGGAGAGCCAGAAGGGGTCGCAGAGGCCGTTGAGTGGAAAGAGGGTTGATTGTATTTGTTTGACTGCTGCGTATTTTGGAGGAGGATGAGCTCCTTTTTAAAAAGGCAAGCTAAGCAAATATATTTGCAAGACTGATTTTCTTGCTGGACCTGGTGAAAAAAGAATATAAATTATCTACCTCTTATTATTAGATGTGGGATTGGATTGAAGGCAACCAGAGTCGATTGAGTGTAGGCACACGTGAGGTGTGGTGTTCATGAGGTATCGTAAGCTGGCCGAGACCCAAGAAACCCATTGAAGTCTAAATAGAAGCTCCTTCCCATACACCCTCTGGTTCCCAGGATAAAGCTTGACATTATTTTGTGACTGTGTCATGCAAAGCAGGCAGCAGCAGCTGCCTTCCCACAGGTGTACTTTGAAATCCCAGCTTTTCAGAGATTTTGTTTTTGTTTGGAAATCCGGGGTCCTTATCAACTCCCTTGATCTCGGGATAGATGCTGGAAGAGCTCTGATTTCCTATATTTTGTGAGTGGATCTCCAGTCCAGTGGCCTCGATTGGCTGCTTTGTTGAGCCATATGTCCCTGTGATTCTCCTCCTACTGAGACAGTTTGATTGTAGATGCCAAGCTCCTTGACAGCAAGAAGCCATTCTAAGCTCAGTCCCTGCAGTGAGGCAGTACTGTCCAGCTCTGTTACCTGCAAGCATGGCCCTTTGGCATTCCTTTCAAGTTCCTTAAGTCACTCAGGAATGAAACTGTCATGTCGGGTTTGCTCACCTTGGCTCTAAGGCCATGGGCCTCAGGAGTGTGGGTGGGGGCTGGGGAGCCCTTGCTCTGCCTCCTTCACCGTCACCTGACATGTTTCTGGATCGTAGATGTTGCTGCTTAGTCCTCATGTGGAGGAGCTTCATCCTCTGGCTTCACAGATACCAGTGACTCTGAGTTCATTTTACTTTGCATTTTTAATTCCTCGGGTTTTTTTAGAAGTGGATATAGGGTAAAAGGAACAAACATTTATTAAATGCCAGGCACTGCTTGATGTGTGCAGGGTAAGGGTTAACTGGGAATAAGAGCTTTGGGTGAGAAGTGAAGCTCTATCAGTGGTAGGATGTAAGCCTCAAGAGAGCAGAGATTGATGTTTGTTTGGTGGTTTTTTGTATCCCCCAGCCCCTCAAGCATTGTGCCAGGCACATAGTGGGCACTTAATAAGGTTTTGTGGGGTTGATTAACGTTACAGTGTTCCTGCCCGAAACCACGTGGACAAGTCACTTTTTTATCATGTTAGCCGGAGCACTAAGTAATTCTCGTTTTAAGTTTTTGCATCTAGGAACATTCTGAAGTTTTGTGACATCAGACCTATCCGATGCTTTATACAGAACTAAATAACAAAGATAATAGCTACTTGGGCCCCAGCCAACGACACCACATTTCCATTCATGTTGTCACTGTGCCTGCTGTCCTCATCCTCCCATTTCTTCATACACTTAGCCTGGTTTGGGTATAAGATCTTGATCTACCATCTTGACCATCTGGAATGACATCTTCTTGTTTTTTGCTTCCTTGATTCTCTGTCTTGTTCCATATCCCAACTAGAGATTCTTTTGGTTTTTACTTTGTGTATTCTTTTTTTCGTTTTACTGTGCCTTGTTCTGATTCGAGTTAGCTGAACTATATACTTGGAAGTGCATTCTGAGCTGTATTTCTGTAGCACAGGAGACAAAACACCACAGAATGCATTTTACCCCAAGAGTGAGTATCCTTCCATTTCATAATCCAGAAAACTGAAAAAGTAAAGAGGTCTTTAAAAGTCGAAGGAAGCCTGTGATGAAAAATAAGAGAAATAAAAATAAGGGAGAAAGGAGGGTTTGAATTTAGTTGTAGTCTGCTCATTTGGTCCTTGCTAAGGTTTGATGGTCTCATTTCTGGTTTTCTTTTGTGTTTTATTTACTGATATCTTATGTTTGTACATCACTTTGACCTGCAGATGTAGTCTTCTTCCCTCCCTCAAAAGTCATCCCCTGTAACAGAATGAAAAAGAAGAGGCAGTTCTGTAAAAGTAACCAATATATCAGGAAGGTAGCATGGGGACAGTGAGTGGGGGGAGTTGTGGCTCTGGAGTCAGAGGACTTAGATTCAAATCCTCCTTCTGATGCTTAAGAGGAGCTTGGGCAACTCTGGACCTCCATTTCCTTGTCTGTAAAGTGAGAATTGGGCTAGATGGCCTCTCATCATCTGATCAGCTCTCTCCCACCCCACCCCCAGATTCTATAAAAAAAGGATGGGAGGTGCATCCCTTCGTTGGACCAACCTCGATCTGATTCCTCTCTCCCATTCAGTTACGTTGTTGACATCATTGTGACATTGTTTTCCTGATTTTGTTAATATCGTTCTGTATCAGTTCATAGAAGTTTTCCTTGCTCAGAATTCTTCATGTTACTGTTTTTTTACAAGGTGGTAATATTACCTTCATTACGTACCACAGTTTGTTCTGTCATTTCCCAGTTGATGGGTTTCCACTTGTTTCCAGGCTTTTTGATTTTTTGCTACCATAAAAAAATCCTGTCGTGAATTTGCGAGTGTTTATGACTTCATCTTCGGCTTCCTTAGAAGATATGCACAGCAGCGAGCCCTCTAGGTCAGAGTTTACTGGGACATTTTAGTCACTTTTGGTTCGATTTCAAATCACTTTTCATAATGGTTGAGCCAACGAATGCCTCCTTGAACAGCGTTAGTCAGCACGCTTTCCTTCACTGCTCCAGTGCCGGGAGACACTCCGAGCTCTGCCTGTCCTAAATGGAGTTGGCCTGTAGAATTGGTAGCATTTGACAGAGGATGTAACTGAGGCACCTCACTTTTCCCAGTCATGGAATGCCCCCCACGCACTTAGCACCTAACTCCAAGGCATGTGGCTCACGCTGAGGGCAGTTTATCAGTGTTTCATTGCCATGTCCTCATGATTTTGTAAGACTGTCTTGTCCCTGGCCCTGAAGGTGAGAGGACAAGAATTGGTTTCTCTCCAATAGAAGAGTGGTGCCAGCTTCCCTTCAGGAAAACCCTGCTGTGCTTTGTTGGTTATTTTCTCGATGAGGTCAGGTTTTCCAAATTTCCTCACATATGATCTTCTAATAAAAGCCCATCATAACCGTTTCTGGGCTGGGTGTTGGAGCTGCGGTGATTGCAGCGTTGTAAAGTGTCTGCTATCTGTCATCTCCTTGGAGGTACCTGAGTGAAGTGCTGCAGGTCTGAATAGGCCAGAAAGGAGATCGAGGAGGGTAGAGACTCCTCAGTGATGCTGCTGGTGCTACCTTTTAATGGTTTTAAAGAGCTAATAGCTGATGATTCTTGGAGAGAAGAGGTTATTTTGCAGTGAGCTTTAAGGTTGGCTCACATTTATTTGAAACATATTTTCTTGTTGATTGACCTGATTTAAGCCAATGATTCCAAATTACTCTGGAATCGTACCATGCTAAGGCAACTGCCCCCTCCATAGGTCTGTATGGCATTTAATACCTAAATAATTAGTTTGCGTTTTTCTTAATTTTTTTTTTTGAAAACTTGATAACATAGTATGAGAAACATTTTGGAGTGTTGCAAATGTAGATTTGCATATTGAAACTTTATATTTAGAAAGAACTACCTATGATGTGACTTTTGTGAGTGGTGTTTTCATTTTATTTCCTTGCCTTGAGAGAATTCATATCTGATTACCAAGTAAATTTTATACTTGTTATTGTCTTCTTTATCCATAGTGTACCCACTCATTCTCACTGCCGTTATCTAGAAGGATTAGAGACCATACGAGCTGTGCATTAATAGATTTTTAAAAATAAAAGCAAAGTTTAATTAAATTATATAATTGGGGTTGGGGGTGGGTATAGTTCTTCTCACCTACATGCCCTGGAATAGGAGGTGACTATCTCACAGGGGAAAGTCAGTTTTACAGTTTGTCCTAAACAATCCCTCACCGACCTTGCCCTATGTGAGTGATTCTCCATTTAGATGGTGAGTGGAATGAAGCGGGAGAAGCAGACTTGAGGGGAAATTCTCCCCTGTTGAGATAGGGGAGGGTCTTGGGTCAGTTCAGCAAAAAGTGTCAAGAACATAAGTTCCTTAAGGTCTGGATCTCCAGCACCTTGCACATAGGAGGTGCTTTTTCTTTTTATGGGGGGGGGGGGGCGGCGTGAGGCAATTGGGGTTAAGTGACTTGCCCAGGGTCACACAGCTAGTAAGTGTCAAGTGTCTGAGACTGGACTCCAAGGCCGGAGGTCCATCTACTGCGCCGCGTCGCTGCCCCGAAGTACTTCGTTTTTGAGGGGGTGAATGAAGGGTCTGCCCCACAGGGCTGGTGAGTTCCCTGTTTGGGGAGCTCACTCTGCTTACCTCTCATCCCCTAGGACCCAGAGTTCAGCAACGCTGATCAGATTGACCTGTACGATGACGTGCTGGCAGCCAGCTCACAGCCATCTGACGACCGCAGCAGCAGCGCCGAGCCACCGCCTCCCATCCGACAGGAGCAGTCTCCCAAGCCCAACAGCAAGTCGCCGGCGATTCTGTACACCTACAGTGGGCTGCGGAATAAGCGAGCCGCGGTCTACGTGGGCAGCTTCTCCTGGGTGAGCCTGGATAGCCAGCAGCCAGCAGGGTGGCCATGGGACAGACTAGCGCCTCCTAGAGCTGCCTTGAGGTTGGTCACGGAGGGGATGCCATCTTCAGAGTCTACTCCCAGATGATCTCAGGTCCTGAGAGTGGGGTCAGGTTGGATCAGCCTCTGGGCGGAAATCCTCAGGACTTGAATGGTGCTGGAGAAAGCAGTGCTTGAGTGGGTGCGGCCATTTCTGTCATCGTTGCCGCCCCTGACCCTGGGGCTTTATATCTAGCAGGGTCATCTCTGGGACGAGCTTTCAGTGAACACCTTGAACTCTTGGTGGTCATTAGATGGTCCTGTGATATTGGTGGGTGACGGGGATCAAAGGCCCTCGTAGCTCTAGTACGCTCTGGGTAGGTGGTGACTCTTGTTCTGCAAAAGTCCTTTCTGTTATATGGCTTGGGCTGGTGGGGGTGGCATGGCCACATGAGCGATTTTCTGACTCTGGTACATTCTTGCTATTCAGAAGAGGAGTTTCAAAGCCTTGCAGTAACCTCCTGGTTGATTTGCACTGATGATTATTAGCCAAGGCACTCTGGAGGCCAGTGGTGAATCGGCCTGCCGTGTCCTTCACCTCTGTAGGTGGGAGGGGGGACGGGATGAGTGAGGGTTTCCGGGGCTCTTGCCTTGACTGAAACAAAACTGGTTTGGGGCCATGGTGGTGATTGGAGTTGTGGTTTCAGGGAAAGGGACTTGTCGAAAACCTCTAGAGGAGATCTCTAGCTCTTGACTTTTCTCTTCTGCTTTACTGGTCCCAGTGGACAACAGACCAGCAGCTGATCCAGATCATCCGTTCTGTGGGGGTCTATGATGTCGTGGAGCTAAAGTTTGCAGAGAATCGAGCCAATGGCCAGTCCAAAGGGTAAGACCCAAGTGGAGGAATTTCTCTGCGAGGTGCCCACCCCAATGAGAAACTTTGTCATTTGGGCTCATCAGGCAGAGTCCTGCTCCGCTCCCCACCCCCGCCGCACCCACTCTTACATTCCGTCAGCTCTGCTTGTGCTCACAGCACATGCCCATGACGTGGTGACCTAGTGAGGCCCACGTGGAGTCGGAGCACTGGCGTTTTCTACTGGGCAGCGAAGGAGATGGGAAGACCGTAGGCCAGAGCGCTTCCCTGCTCTTTCACCAGCTTGGGAATTTGGCACTAAATGTGTTCAGAGTCTCCCGTCTCCCCATTTATTCAAGTGGCTGCTCTGTCTTCCTTTCTTCTCCCTTGCCCTTGCCCAAGGTATGCTGAGGTGGTGGTGGCCTCCGAGAACTCTGTCCACAAACTGCTGGAACTCCTGCCAGGCAAGATTCTCAATGGGGAGAAGGTGGACGTGAGGCTGGCCACCCGGCAAAACCTGTCCCAGTTTGAGGCGCAGGCTCGGAAACGTGAGTGCGTCCGAGTCCCAAGAGGGGGTACGTGGAGATGGTCTGTATGGCGGGGGAGAGAAGGGAGGGTTTTCGTACCACGCCGTAGGATTAGCCTGCAGCGTGAGGGAGGCTGGGTGGGGGTGGGTCTGGTCTGTGGGAAGAGGGCTGTAGCCCCTTTACGAGGGAGGTGCATCCCCAGATCTGGACGCCAGCTCAGCAAGTGCCCCTCGCTGTCCAGCAAACTGCTCAGCGTGGCGAGGTGGAGGGAGCGTTAGGAGAGCTGGGATCTGGTCCTGACTCTCGCATCGAAACAAGCTGTGAGCCCTTGGACAGATCAGTCCGTTTGGGCCTCAGCTTCCTCATCTGTAAAATGAGGAGTGGGACTAGATGCCTTTAAGGCCCTCGCCAGCTCTGAAGCTCTCCAGTCCTGAGAATTAACTCGCAGTGGGTGGAAGGAGCTGTAACCCGTCCGCTGTAATGCGGATTGGCTTGGTTATGAGATTGCTGTGCTTTCCCATTTGTCTTTGGGAGCAGCCACCCAGGGTGTCATTTCTGTTAAGTGAGCTGTAATCTTGGAGGTTGTCCCGTGCCCGGAGGGTATGTGGAGAATCAAGCTGGTGCTGTTGTGGCAGAAGGGTGGTCTGCGTGGAGAGTTGGGGAATCTCCAGCGTGGTCCGGGGGGGAGGGAGCCCTGCATCCTGGTCTGCTCGGCAGGCCTAGCTCGGTAGTGGAAGAGGGGGCGTCGGGCTTCCGGAGCTTGGCGCCAAGATCCCTTAAGTTCATCCGATTCTGTACTCACCGAGCAACCTTCTGATCTTGATTTGGTTTCCCAAATAGGCTCTCCTACTGGGAAGAGAATGCGCTGACCAGCCGACACAAGTATTCCGGTCCGCTTGGCAGTTAGATTTCTCATTGTAAATTAATAAATTGGCATTCTGGTTTATGAATCAGTCTCTTGTGAGTTTGGTTAGCGTGAATCAATCCCCCAGGGTCCGATCACCCCTGGGTGAACTGATAAAATCGAGTTTCTGAACCTGCAAAAGCTGAGGACCAGACCCTGGACTGTGGTGACCCCACCAAGGTGCAGCCCCACTTCGAGGCCCAGCCTGAAACAGCGAGCCAGCCTTAACCACAGTGGGGAGATGTCTTAGGGTCTACCACTGTTTTAGGGCCTACTTGCCAAGCCCAGCCTGCATTGGGTCTCTGCCCCCAGGTACAAGGATGGTCCCCTCACTCTTCAGTAGGGATAGCTCTCCTCTGATTCGATTCAGCGGTTTTGATTCCTCGGGTTGCAGTCACACTCCTCTTCTTGGCCACTTAAACCTTCCAAGTCCCTTTGGTTCAAGCGTTACTCCTGCCTTGCCAGTCTCAGATGCCTCACTTTGCAGCCGGCTGAGAGAGCAGGCCTGTTCCTCTTTTCCGCTGTTCCCTCCTGGGGGGCTCTGCCTTGACTGAGACGATGAGGTGATAGAATGGTGTTTTCTGTCTGCCGCGTCTTCCCCTTTGGCCGGAGGAGTAGGTGCTGCATAATAAATACAGGGCGGCTACTCTTGGGGCCCGTGGAAAGCTTAGGCACAAAATGAAAACCTCCCAAGTCGGCAGATTGTTGCTCGGAAGTCGGTTGATCCTCAGGAAAGGAAAGTTGATAGTTTTTCTTCAGGCTTGGAGGCTGGTGGAGAGACCTGTGAAGAAACGGGCTGTTAAGGTGATTTGCAGCATGAGAGGGTCAGACGCTTGGAGGTGTAGTGACCACTGAGTCAGTGGGAAACGGTGTGGTCTACGGAATAAAGACTGGTCAGACGGGGGTACTAGTTAGGCATCCGTGTTCGCTAGGTGGAAGATCGCTCTAGCTTTTTGGTGAGGACTACTGTTAGTGACACCTGTTGCCCCTTCCTAGGATACTTCCCCCAGATGTCTAGCTCTGCTCTTGTATTGAAATTCCTATCTGGGTCAGGGCTAGGGTGTCTTCTGATGTCGTATCTTGAGAGCAATGCTTCCCGGACAAGGAAACATTTTTTTGAGTACTCTGAGCAAAGCAGTGAACTGGTGTGCCCTCAGCCGCCTGTGGCCCACTTTCTTCTCTCTCCAGGGGTGTGGGGCATGAAATGGGCCTGTGGTGTTATATAAACATCTTGGTCCTTTCGAAGCTGGTGGTGCTGGCAGCGACCCTGGGCGGAGGGAGGACCTCAGCATAGCGTCTTCTTCCAGTGTGTCTCCACATCACCTCTTCTCCTTTTGTTCCCACCTGCACCCAACCCTTCCCAAGCCCTGTTGCCAGTTCCTTGTCCGTAGGTGGGCTCCGTCCCTCTCCAGCTGTGTTGTGGCAGATAGACACGTTCGTAGGTGTAGGTGGAGCAAGATGGAAATGCTTCAGTACTAGCCAAGAGGAAGGATGTGGACTTGGTCTGAGTTCTTGTGTCAGCTCGGTCTTGCTGAGTGATCTTACTCACTTTCACTTTCTTGCTTGGCTCCTTTCCTTCTTCTTGAAGGAGGTGTGATCATGCCTTTATGGAATCTTTGGAAGTCTCAGGATGGATTAGTGACTGGTGAGCCATGCCCTCTGGGTGTCGCCAGTGAAAGGCCCTGTGAATAAACAGGGTAGCACCAGTGATAGGGATGACATCTGCTCCTGGAGCCTGTGGATTCACTGAATTGTGCCTTGAGGGCCCCCTTGCCAGGAGTTCATCCTGTACCCCTGCAGTGTAAGCACCTCCTGAGTGAGGGGCCACATCAGGCCTATCCTTCACTAGATTGAGACAGTGCCGTGGTTTTGTCGGTTGCCTGGAGCAGTAACGCTGGCTCTGTTTTGCTTCATAGGAGTACCACCACGCGCCCACTCCCGAGATTCTAGTGATTCTGCTGATGGACGGGCCACACCCACTGAGAACCTTGTGCCCCCGCCTCCCCGTGTGGACAAGCCCCCCAGTGTGCTGCCCTACTTCAGCCGCCCTCCCTCAGCTCTTCCCTTGATGGGTTTGCCCCCACCACCCATCCCACCCCCGCCACCTCTCTCTTCGGGCTTTGGGGTCCCTCCTCCACCTCCTGGTATCCATTACCAGCATCTCATGCCCCCGCCTCCCCGACTGCCTCCCCACCTGGCTGTGCCTCCCCCAGGGGCCATCCCACCTGCCCTGCACCTCAACCCCGCCTTCTTCCCCCCACCAAATGCTGCAGTGGGGCCTCCGCCAGATGCTTACATCAAGGCCTCTGCACCCTATAACCACCATGGCAGGTAAGGACTGCCTTGTTTCCTTCTAAAGAATTGGGCTGGGTGTAAGGGGAGTCCATGGGTCAAGTGTCTTCTATTTGGTCTGTGCTGGAAAGGAAAGTTTCTGCATTCTGCCTGGGGAAGACGAGCACGTGACCCTCACCCTTTCCTCCTGCGTCTCTGCTGGAAGGGTGTGCTCTGCCGCCTCGCTTTTGTATCGCCCTTCCATGGGGGCTTTTCTTGTCTGCTTGACCCAGGCCCTGTCCTGGTTGTTCACGCTGATGGGCTTGCTTGAATTTAGTTCCCTGGGTGCTGTGGTGGGGGCGTTGGCAATGGGGTACAGTGCCAGCCTGTCTTCAAGAAGGGTGTGGTATGTTGGAGGAGATGACACATGAAGGAGGAGAGGTCAGTGCAACATCATACCCAATAAAGTGCCCTGCTGTACGGTACAGATCTAAGTGCCACGGGCGGTCAGGGATGGTGTTGTCTCCGTGCAGCCGAGAACTGGGCCCCCCACCCCCAACGGCGTGCGAAGCCGAGTTCGAGGAGATCATGAATCGGAACAGAGCAATCTCTAGCAGTGCCATTTCCAAAGCTGTCTCTGGGGCCAGCGCAGGTAACTTCTTCTACCTTTGCTTCCAGCTCCTGCCTCTCTTCCCTCGTCCTCTTCTCGGGGGTGGGACTGCTCGCGTGGGCCATCTCCCTCTGCAGGGGTGCTGAGAAGGATAGGTAACTTGGGGAAGGATGGTTTGCTTTTAGGCATATGTCCTGTTTCCATAGTGTTTGGGGAAGGTATTTTTTGTTTTTTTGTGAGCTGGAAGTCATTCCCAGATTTACGTTTGCGCAGTAAATCTAGCTTTGCACCTGGGATGGAATGTTATGTGCAGCATTCCGTTTCTGCTCTGGGCTATAGAAGGACCTCTCTGCCTTGTAAATGTAAGGACCACCCGACATGGCAGAGATGGAGTGCTCTAGAATAACGGCACCCTAGATCAGATTTGCCGTTTCTACGTAGACCCCGAGGATTATGAGGGAGTGATTTCTGACTGGCTTCGACTGCTTCATCACAGTCTTGGAGTCCCGTGGCACAGAGCGTGCCAGGCCATCTCAGCTGTTACAGGCTAGCCTGGTGAATCTGATGGAGCAACAGGTGGGAGAGACCTGGCCTTTGCTGAGCCGACGCCAGGAAACCAGGCAGTGCCAGGCTTGATGGCTAGTCTCACTGCCACCTCACAGGGTGACTTGGGGCGAGTAGGTGGATGTTTATTAAACAAATGTTCACGTGGTGATGGACCTTTCTCATTCTATGCTAGGTCTAGGGCTTTGGGCAAAATTGACAAGCCGGGATGCCAAGAAGAACGTTGGCTGGAAACATTAGCATCATCCTTTCAGGGATGGTCTTTTCCTCATCTTGGGTCATGAAGCCTAAAGTGCTCCATAGGGCTGTTTATTGGATTTCTTTCCCACCTGCTAATGTGGGTTAGAGACAGGACGAGTAGACCTACATTTTCCTCTCCTGATTTTTTTCCTAAAGAATCTTCTTTCACATTTGATTAAATCTTTATCCAATTTTTCTTGCTCTCCTGCTGTATTTCTTTACTGTTGTATCTCCCCATCTCTGGGCTTTTCTTTTCACTCTTGCACAACTACCTTCAAGTCCTCCTTTCTATTCCCTCAGAATATCCTCAGGACCTTGTTCTTCTCAGTGGACTCCGTCCTCGAACTCTTTCCTTCTTTACCTTGCCTTCTGTCCCAGAGGGTCTTGGTTAAAGCCTAATTGTGCTCCCTGAGTGCGAATCCCATGCTAGCCAGGGCCAGGTGGGAGCTGTGGATGGCTGCGTGGCTCTCAGGCAGGCCTGGGGCACGCACGGGCACCTCTGGTTTGGCTTGTCTTCCGTCTTCTCCCTCTTGGTCCAGTTTGCTTCCGTTACTCTCCTACTCATTCTTGGCCTTTCCTACCCATCCCGCATCAGGGGATTATAGTGACGCTATTGAGACGCTCCTCACAGCCATTGCTGTCATCAAACAATCCCGGGTCGCCAACGACGAACGTTGCCGTGTGCTCATCTCCTCCCTTAAGGACTGTCTTCATGGCATCGAAGCCAAGTCCTACAGCGTGGGTGCCGGCGGTAGCTCTTCCAGGTGAGTTCCCGATGGGTTTGCTGGCCTACCAGCCCCAACGGCCCTCCTAGGGATTGGTGAGGGGGGACAGGAGGCCTTAGGAAGGTGCCTATTAAAGTCATGGCTGTAGGCCCTGACCTCTCTAGGAGGAGTTCAGGAAGACAGAGGAAGTCAGAAGGCTTTTATTAATAATCATCTTAGGCTAACTAGGTGCTACCAAAGGCAACTCCATTAAGAAATACATTGTAGTTTGTGTAGGCTTTGTATTCTGACATAAATGGAGACCGTAACCTAGGGGCAGGTTAGTCAAATGCTCATACAAACAGCAACGCCAAAAAAATTGTTCTTGAGCACCTTGAAGAGAGAATGCCATTGAGCCCCTCTGGAGAACCCTGAAGGAAGAATCTTTTCCAACAGGAAAAGACACCGGTCCCGTGAGCGATCACCTAGCCGGTCCCGTGAGAGCAGCCGAAGGCACCGGGACCTGCTCCATAATGAGGATAGGCACGAGGATTATTTTCAAGAAAGGAATCGGGAGCATGAGAGACACCGGGACAGAGAACGGGACCGGCACCACTGAGAAAGGTGAGACGGGCTCCACTCTGGCTGCATTTCTTTTGGGGCCTCTGATGGTGAAAAGCCAGAGTGACATCTGCCCAGCTTGGGACGAGCCTGCTCTTGGGCTGGCTCTAAAGGGTAGGGAGTTGTGTGGGCGTGGCCTCTGTCTTCCCTGCTGCAGCCTCTTGGGACTGTCCACTATCTCACCCCTCACACTGAGTTAGGAAGCCAGGAAGGAAGGACCAAGATGCACGTCCGAGGCCACTCATCCCACCCTGTGTGCAGTGGGTCTTACTCCTGCATGTTGATCTGTGGCATGCCAGCTTAATGGCTTTAAACACAGGGCCTTTTTGTAGGAAAAAGATTACAATAAAGAAGGGAAATGGGGGGGGGTGACCTTTAAGAATAAGGGATTATTTCACTGTTTTCCACTTTGAGTATAGCTTGAGAGAGGAGGGTCTTCAAGATGGCAGAGGGGAGGATTTAGGTTCGTTAACAGGAGGAGTACTTGCTGAAATTTGGGATTGCTAAAACGAAAGTTATCCAAGAAGATTATTGACTGCTTCCTTTGAGGTCTTAAAAATAAGTTAAATCCCCATTTGTCTGGGATGGACTGTGTTTGCTCTCTGCTTTACGCCAATCATAAACTGAAGGGGCTTCCGAATCCCTTCCCAGCTCTGTGGTTGGAGACTTTTTAAGCCCGAGCATGTTTTCCCCACTATTTCCCAAACAGTGCATTTGCAGCCCTGTTATATCGTGTGTGTCATGATATTTCCTTGTTTGCTCTTCTGCTATGGCCAGAGCTGACAGGAAGGCAAAAGTTGGAGGTGAAAGGGATAGAGGTGGTAGTCACCACGTGAATATGGGGGGCGAGGTTTGTGTGTGCGTGTGTGTCTGTGTGCTTGCTCGCGAGAGGATGCAGGTAGATGACTGGTTCTGGGTAAATTAACAGATGTGTAGCAGACTTTAAAAAAATGTCCTCACCCTGCTTAATGACAGGAGCTCCTCTTGTCTGATGTCCTGTGTGGCTGCAGGTAAGGGAAGGTCAGAATTGGCACTGAGCAGTCTCCAGGAGCTGTCTTCCCCTCTGCCCTCAGAGAATCACCAGGGACATTGTCCTCCTGACGTGATGAGGGCGTCATTTGGTGTGTTTGGCATTAGGAAAGTGTCTACGTTACGTACTGATGCATTTCTGAGCTGACTCATCTCTGCTTTGAAAGCGTCCTTTTCGTGCTCCATAAGGACCAGTGGTGGTGGATGGCTCTGATGCTGGGCTGAACTGCTGTTTGGTCTCTCCACGGCCCCGGAAACCTTTCTGGAGTTTGCCACTTGGGGGAGTTTTGACAAAAGAATTTTGAGGGCAAGTCCTTGCCCAGGTCATGTCTCCAGGGCAAACCGAGGATTAAACTCCTGGCCTTTCTACTTGGATTCTGTGTAAACTAGGCACCCCTCTTTAATTCAAACTAAGCCTGCTCCTTTCCTAGAAGTAAGTGCCGGCTTCTCTTTCTTTGGCGCATGCCCTGCACTGCATAGAACAGGAAGATGCATTGAATGAAACCTGGACGCCAGCGTGGTTGGCCTCCATTGTGATGGAGTCTTCTGCGTGCACTGCTGGCAGCCTGCAGCCCCTGCTTGTAAGATGAGACGTTAATTCTTACTGTGATTGGGGTCTGTTGTGCATCTGTAGGATTTAGAGCTAGAAGTCCCCTTGGTGATCACCCAGGCCAGCCAGGAGGTGGCTTGCCCAAAGTCATGTGGTTAATACGTAGTGGAGCTGGGGTTTGAACCTAGGTGTGCTGTGCCACATTGCTCCTCGACTGAGGGAATAATTGAAGATCTAGTAAATCAGCTAGCAAGGACTACTATAGCAGCTTATTCCGTAAACAGGTTAGGCATCTGCTCTGTGTGGGGCGCTAGTAAGAGCCCCTTAGCCTTGGCAAAGAATGACTAATGTTGAACTGCTTTTAAAAAGGTGATTCGATGATTATTCTGTGCAAATGATGGGAGTGAGCAACGCGGCCTCTTTAATTTTTTGGTATTTAGTCTGTAAGGCCAAATTATCATTCATCATGGTTTGAATGTTAAATAATTAAGCGCTCCTAATTAAATTTGTCACAGATCTGTGGGCAGGTTTTCTGCTACCCTGGGCCCTCTTCACATGTGGGTTCTTGATTTACCACAGGGCTTACCCCTTCATAGGCAGTTGGGGTGAAATTCTGGAGCCGGACGTTCCATTTGCCATTTTTATGGTCACCTCTTCGGGTTGGCTCAGTGACCCTGGCGGAGCAAATTGTTCTCCCTGCTTCTCAGAATGAGCAGAGACAAAAACTATAACACCCAGTTTTTAAATATTTATCACACTCTGGTGCAGAGGCAGGGCTGCAGAACAGCTGTATGTGCTGCCCCTTTCCCAGGGAAGGTTGGATCAGGCCCCACCTCCCTGCCAAGCACTTTGTTTTGAGCTCTGTGGCCTCCTCCCCTCCTTGGAAGGCATTACTTCGGTCTGTCTTTGCTCTGAGCGGGTGATAGTGACTTTTCCTCTGCTCCTGGGCGGCAGGAGAAGGTCTCATCCTTCTGTCCCACGTGTCTGTTACCCTTTTCCATTTTGGGGCCCCATATGTAGGATTCCTCTCCCAAGAATCTTTGGCCTTTGCAGCCTCCACTGAAAACGCACTCCAAGGGAGTCAGAGGTTGGTTTAGAATGAGGCTCCATCTCATTCCATTTGAAACCATTGAGCTCCTTTTCCAGTGTGGCAGGGATACTCCGTAAGCAACATTTAGTTTGTACGGTACATGTACTTTTTTTTTGGTCACTTGAGAATGATCTAGTAGTCTTAGATCTGTGGGTAGGACCTCATTCTAATATTTGGCCAGTTGGCACATTATTCAGGGATATACAGGAATAATCTTCACACTCCTAGAAATATCGTTCTCATTCCCATTTTCACCTTTTTGTCTCAGGAAAAACAAGTTCTTGTGCACTATTAATTCTGTCCGAATAGCCAAAGCTGAAGACATTTGCTTTCTTTACCTTGCATCGTTATTAGATCACCTAACTGTGGAGTGCCTCTGTTTTCCCATCTGTAAAATGAGCTCATACATTTTTGGGATGCTTTGCTACTTCAGAGGGAGGGAGGGAGACTTTCAATAGTGAAGAGTTCCCAAGTTGAAAGTAAAAATCAGGAAAATGTACAGTAGATGTTTGTGGAAGGATTCAGTAGCATTTTCTGTCTCTCGTGTGGATTCTTCATTGAATAATACAGGACCCTTAGAGGTCATCTAGTGCAAGGCTACATTTCACAGAGGGGAAAACAGAACAAAAAGGTCCAGGGGTGTCATAGGCAGAACTGGGATTCACACTTGGTTCCCTGGGCTCGCTATCAGAAAAACTCACCGTGCAAGCTGCACACACACGGGATGAGTGGCCTTCCAAAGCCTCGGAGGTGTTCCTTTAGCTTGCAGTCTGCAGCAGCTTGAGTGGGGCTTCTCTTCAGCCGTGGATTGGAGCAGTCTGGATGCTGCCATCCTTCTACCTCTCTGTCCTGACTTCCAGTCCTGTCCTCTTTCTTTGGCACCGTCCTGCCTTATTTGACTTAGAAGGGAATGTGTTTCTGGTCCCTCTTTTGAAACAGAGATCATCACTTTAACATTAGGGGGACTCGGAGCCTATATGTGATTCTTTGTCTACAGGCTAATTAGTCGGCCTCTTCTGGGCTTTCCTGGGGCCTCCCAGCTCTGGCCAGAACTCTGCCTCTGAGCCTGAACAGGACGTAGTTGCCAGCTCCTGCTCCCAAAGACAGGCCCCTCCGCAGGGAGCCATTGCAGCCTGGCCCAAAGCTGAGTGCTTGGTGCTTGTTGGTTCTGTTTGACTTTCAAACAAAATTTTAGTTCTCTTGCTGCTTATGTCTGTTCTACAGTACCTTTTGGGCTATAACTCAGTGCTGTTGTCTAGGGGAGATTTTTGTAATCCCAACCAGCCCTTGGCCCTTGTTTTCCAGCCTGATTTGGAAATGCCTTTGCGCCTTTTCCTCCAGCTGAGAATACTTTCTTTGGTCTACATATAGAACCCAGCCTCCCAAGCTGGTGGCACCCTTCTTCTGTGAGCAGGGCGGGGCTGTCCCCCGTTGGGTCTCTTTTCAGGTGCCTACACAGTGCTTGGACTTTGTGGTTCTAAACTTCTCTTGATGTCTCTGCCCTCCAAGGTAAGCTCTAGAGCCTGCAAAAGAGTTTTTCAGTGCTGAGCTCCAGGAGAGGTCAGAGAGCAGCTCCCCTGCTCCCGGCTGGGCAGGGGAGAGCAACCCAGGGCCCCGAAGCAGCTCCACATTGCTTATCGCTGATACACAGCCAGTTAACCTCTTGTTCTTTCTTCCTCTGCCACTGCCTAACCTTGCTGTCTGTGAGAGCTGGTATTTACACGGCCCTTTAAGATTGCCGTGATATTTGATCTTATTCGATAACTCTTCTGAGCTCTTCTCATTGTTTCTTTCTTCAGAATAGCCCAGCCAGGCCTTTCTCCTTTCTTTCTCTTTCTCAGTCATGCGTAATTATGTTCTCTCCTACTTTCCGTAGCATCCTTTGACCTCATGGGTTTCCTGCTTTAGAAAATGCTGGTGTAATCCAGATAATCCCCAGATAATCAAATATAAATCTCTAACTTGTATTTTCTCTCCCTCCCCCCTTCTGCTGTTCTCATTGCAGGAGTCTGGTTGGAAGTAAATGTTTTTTTTAATGGACTTGCATCTCCTCACCTCGATCAGGACTAAAGGACGGAGGCCGCTCCACCCCTTCCCCCTCCCCCAAGCCCCCAATTCCCTCCAGACACCCAGGGAACACCCGATGCCCCACCAGACCGAAGAGAGCTTGGCAGCCCTTCCTAGCTCTACCCAGGCCCCGGCATGACCCCTGCTTGCCTAGGGAAAGGGCTGAAAGACTTGATGGGGCTGGGAGGGGTAAGAGAACAGAAAGGGAAGAATGTAGAATGTGTCTGGGGCCATGATCCACAAATGCTTGGACTCCAAAAGAACGGTGCTTTCTTTTTCTTGGAAACTCGTGAGGTTCTTATTCTCTGGGGGCAGCTTGAGGCCATTGGGAAAGCCTCCCAAAGACCCACCGAAAGAGAAGAGGTCGTCATTGGGTAGGGGAGTGATGCCCAGAGGTGCCCAGGCCTCTGCTGCACTAGCACTCCACTCAAGGGGCTCTCCGTGTCCACCTCGCCCTCCTCCCCACTCTGCGGTGTTGCACGCCTCCAACCCCAGATCCCTCTCAGCCCTTTTGGGAGGAACTACAGGAAGAAACATTATCTGGTGACAGGCTGCTTCTGCCCTAACTTGTTCTGCCTTCCTCTCTCCTGATCTCCTAGGGAAGGCTTGAGGCCTTCATCACTCCTAGTTTCCTTGGTCCCACTGGTCCCTTGAGGAACAAGGGCCCTGTCCGGTGTCTCAATACACTTGCCCCTGCCAGGCAGAGAGCATCCTCATAAGATGGCTTTCTCTGCCCAGGGTCCTCTCCCTGCTTTGCTTGCTTGCTGCTCGTGAATTAACAAGCTCTGATAGGCACTCTTCCCCTTGAGCCCTTCCCCCAAGAGGGCTGTTTCCTTGTTTTAGAGGAAGGCACTGCAACACATCCCCACCTTGGCAGCGGTGATCCCAACGAGAGGTTACAAGAAGCAGGGGGAGAGAGGGGCACCTGGTCACGACCACTTCTGAAAGCTTTTCCTTCCAAAAGTTGCATGTAAGCATGCACCTTACATCAGGTCGCTGATTGGTGTAGCCTGGTTCTAGACATTGGAGATTGTAGCCTGGATGTCTTGCCGGCCTTTGGCTACTGGCAGACTGGCCTCCCTCTCACCCCTCCAGGAAGGTCCAAGAAAGAACTAGAGCCTAGCTTGCATCTGCTGTATTCTGAGCTCCATGGACACCATTCCACTGGCCTGCCTCCTCGAGAGGCAGGGCGACAAAGTTGCTGCTCCCATAGATTTCAAATTGTGGCGAACAGGCTTCTCCGTGCCGCTGGTCGTTCCATGGGACAGGGCTACCTCTACATCACCCACAGGGCATCCAGCCTTTAGTATGAGAAAAACAAGAGACTCTGGTCTCAGGAGATCCTTCCAAGGCAGAGGGGAAGGGAGAGCCGCTAGGCCTAACAGACTTCGGTCAGGCACTGAGTGAATTTTTCCCAGGGTCAGAGGCACATTCCCTTGGGACAGAGGGAAGGGGTGGTAGCTTTCTCCCCTCGTCCCCCCCACCCCACCCCACCCCCACCCCCACTTCCTCTAAGGAGCCGAGCATCCCCAGCCGGCAAGTGTTAAGTGACGCGCTTCTCCCAGAGACCAGCTCCGGGTGTCTTTTTTAAAATGTAGAGAAAACCAAATGAGGTGACTTGTTTGAGGAAGAAAACATAAAATACCAGAAATCCGTTTGCCCGGAGAGTTTGTGTTTTGTTTTTTTTTTTACTTAATGACACAATTTTTAGTTTTATTTCCAGATAGCAAAAGAAAAATACCTGAGGGAAAAAAAAAGGCCAAGGCCCCGTCCCCCCTGTTGTCGGTGATTCGATTTGTTTGTCTCTTTCTGATAGGTTGGAAATTGTGTAATAAACTTGATGACGCTGTCAATCTTTTATACCGCATTGTATGCTTTTTTTTCCCTTTTGTAACAAAATATTTTAAATAATAAATGGGGTGTGAGCTGTTTTATGGACCCTGCTTTGGAGAGATGTGTCTTGGCTCCAGCTTTGGGTGGACTTTTAAAAGGTGGGCTCAGCCGAAGCAGGTAGTTTTGCTTTTAGCCAGGCTTCGGGCATGAACTGCAGCTCCTTTCCTGTAAACAGGCCCAGGGGAAGCTGTTCTCTGGGGCTTTCCTTGAGCTCGAAGGAAAACAATGGAGAAGGCTTTGCTGAATCAAGTGCTAGGCTCTTTCCTAAGCCAGAAGCACTTTTCCCTTTTAATAGGTAGAATACAGAAAAAGGTACATAAGTGATGCAGAAGTGGTGTCCTAGAATGGTTCCAGAGGCATTCCCCATCCGGATTTAGGGTGGGGGAGGGGGGCAACTAGAACAGTTGGGACTGGAGGATGAAATGAAGGAAGCAGGGAGGCTTGGTGGTTTTTTTTTTTTTAAACGAAGATGAGACCAGGCAATCACCAAGTATCAAACCTCTGGAGGTGCAAAATTTAAAGGAAAAACCAGGTAGAGTGCTGCAGGCTGTCTTCATGGGGCCTTCTGTGAGGGTCGTTGGGTCGTCACAGTCATATCTGACCCTCCAAGACGCCACGTGGGGTTTTCCTGGCAAAGATCCTGGAGTGGCTTGCCGTTTCCTTCTCCAGCTCATTTGATAGATGAGGATACTGAGGTAGGCAGGGTGAAGTGATTTGTCCAGGGTTTGAATTCAGGTGGTCTTCTGACTGCAGGCCCAGGCTCTGTGCACCATGGCGCCACCTAGCTGCCCCCTTGGGAGTTAGCTGGATTCTAATTCCCCTTCTTCTGCCTTCCTGGTCACGTGGGCCTAGGCTGGAAAGGGGTGAATTTGCAGAGGGGCTGAAGAAAGTATCGAAACATCCTGAAACCACTTCACGTGAACAGAACCTGCTTTCACCCAAATTGAGAAGCTAAAATAAGAACCAGGATTTTAGACATGAAAGGGACTTGCTTGAGGTCCCTTGGGTAACAAACGGAAGAGCAGAAATTGGCTCCTCTAAATCCAAATGAAGCACTCTGCCCCCTCCTCTCCCCTTTCCTCCATCCTGGTGGGACAGAATGAAAAGCACGGGATGTAGAGTCACAAGACCCAAGGACCAGTTTGGGTGCCATTTGCTACTGGGCAAATCACTTTGTCTCTCTGGGTCTCTGTTTGCTTATCTGTAAAATGAGCAAACGGTGTCCCCGGAGTGAATTAGGGAGGCCATAGAACATGGGTCATCACTCTAGCTATGTGCCAAGGATTAGGTCAAGTCAGGCCTCAAAGGATGTTGTCCTAAGATGTAGGATTCAGGGAAATCACGGTGAACTTGGTTTGTCCAACAGTCTTTGCCTTTTTCAGTTAGACTGCAGTGGCAACGTACAAAAGAGATGAGACTGGTCACGCCCACTTTCACATTAGATAGTGGGAAGGTCTATGAACTGTTTTTCCCCAAGCACGAGTAGAATTTCAAAAGCCAGCACCAAGTGCTAATGCCACAGTGGAGAAACGCAGGAAAGTCACACCTTAAAGTACCAGAAAGGGCCCGAAGTGTCCAGAGTCCCTTCAGGGGAGATGTCTTCACTGCTACAACAGGTTACTAGAAAGTAACGTGTAACTGATTTGGAGGTGATGGTGGATTTGGGGCTAGAAGAGACCCTACGAGGGGCCCCTGAGTCCGTTTGACTGACGAGGAGACTGAAGTACAGAAGGGACGTCACTCGCCACAAGTCTCACAGCCTAGTAAGGCCTCAGGATTCTGTGAAGAAAGGAAGAGGGGGCTGGCAGTTAAATCTCTGAAGAGGAATAGAAAGCAGACATGGCTGCCTGCAGCAGGAGAACAAGTGGCGGACAGATCAATCAGCTACAAGTGACGGTCAACAGAAGACTTGGGAATTGCTTCCTCCCCCCAGCTCCCTGGCCTCTTCCTTAGTTTTTCTCATCTTTAAATAGGGGATACAATTCCAGTCTGTGTACCTGAAGATCCTGCAGCCTCACCACAACATCAAATGAAACGGCAAACCTAGAGACCTGAGATTTTCCGAAGGCCCTTGGTTGTTGGTGACTAAGTTACTGAACCAGGCCACGGCAGGCACTGGTAAGGAAGACGATCAGAAACTCTTACGGAGGCAAGATGCTGCAATGCCGCTGCCTGCAGCAAAGACCTGTGAGGCACTAACCTAGCACTGCCCTCAGGCTTTGTGCAGGGGACAGGGCCATAAGGAAAAGGCTGCAGCCCCCACAACAGAAAATAAATATTTATTGTAAATAAATAGTGTTTGTTTCAAGACACAGCGTAAGAAAATGACCCCCCAAGCTACTGAGCGTTGGTGCCTGGTCGCTTCTGAATGAAGCTCATCCCCTAATGGGATAAGGTCTTGGTTTGGGGTTAGTGGAGGAAAACACCCTTGTGAAACGCAGGTGCTCGGTGCTTCTCGGGACACAGACAGCACACGTACGCACACATACACAAAGGACAGACGAGGGGCCTAGACAATCCAAACCCAGTGCTCTGGTTGTGACAAACGGGAGTGCCGAGTAAGGACCACGCGCAACGGCCTAGGCGAGGGCTGTGTGCTCTGCTATCCTGAAGGAGATGGAGAACACATTCTCTAGGCTGGTCTAGAAGATGCTGCCAGACTGAGTCAAAGGGCCAGCCTCCCCAAGAGCATGTGCCTCTGGGCGTCAGGGGGCCATGTCACCAGGGCTCAACAGGCCGCTTGTACTTCAATACGCATCCATGCTACGGGCAGGAAGAGACCACGAGGTTAAAGACCAAAAAGCAGCAGCTGACCTCACCAGTTGGAGCCTCCAAGATCTCCCAGCCCTGGTGGCAGGAGCAGCCCCATATCCACCCCCATCCCCTTTCCCCTCCATGGGACCCTCCCAGAGGGGAGGCCTGACCCCAGGCTGAGGGAGCAGTACCTGCTGAAGGTGGTGAGTGTGATCACCTCGAGCACCAGCTCTAAGCCACAGAAAAGGAGCAGGATGGTGCTCATCACAGCTTCAAGGCGCAGAACGTAGGTCTGCAGCAGGAGGTAATAGAAAGCCATCATGGCTGACGGAAAGGTCATTGCCAAGCTGATCGCAAGAGGCATCATCCTTTGACAGAGGTTCCCTTTTGTAGCTGTCAAAACAGGTACAAGACAGGCCCTAGGAAGTCACCTCCGGTGGCCTGCCCTGAACTATGAGGCCACGGTGGGAAAGTGGGATCGACTGCAGCCACAGAGGCTGCAAAGGGGGTGGAAGTCCAAGCTTATTAGATGAGACTTTCAACCATCCAACCGCTAATTCCAAATTCATCCAGGCTTGTGGTGATGGGAAACCTGGCCTTGGGGAAGTCACTACCCCTAGAAGACTTAGGACCTTTGGGTCCTTTCTCTTCTCCAAGAGGGGCACTCGGGACGATTACAGCAAGGAAGCATGTCCCTGACACCTACATGCATACGAAGGGCTTCAGAAAAGAGCCCCCACCGATGGAGCACACTGCTAGGGTGACGGGCACCAGGAGAAGCACCCAGTGCCCTGGTCACCATTTGTACAGAGAAAGGAAAGGAGGAGGTTCACAGAAGCCAGGGACTGTCCTCCAGGCAGGCAGGCAGGCAGTAAAGGCTGGAGCAGACATTCCTCCAGCCCCTTGACCTTCCCTTGGGCCACACAAGGAACTTCAGGCCAGGGACAGTTTCTGGCTGATGGGCCTTCTGGTTGTGAGGTTTGTCCTATTCTGTTAAGTAAGTTGCAGGGATCAGCCACTTACCAAAAAAAAGGCGGATGATTTCAATGCCAAGGTAAAGGAAGAGCATGACCAGGTCAAGAACTAGGTTGGCTGTTGGGTATGGTAACAGGAGACCTGTGATCAAAGCCAAAGGTTGCAGGAGGCAGGGGAGGACAAAGACGGAGAAGCCTTACTGAGGGCGCAAACACGTGGAGGGGCCCTCTCAAATATTCCTCAAGCATTAGGGTCCCACCGTGAGCTAAGTGGGGGGGCCTGGTCTGACACCTCAGCCCCTGGTCCCTGGTCCATCAGGCTCTCCAGGCACAGCTTTGGGGGTGGAAGGGGTGTGACCCTGGGGGGAGGAGCCAGTTGGGAGGAAGGAGCAGGGCCAGGCAGGAGGGAGGGGGCCCGGTCTGACACCCCAGCCCCTGGTCCCTGGTCCATCAGGCTCTCCAGGCAGCTTTGGGGGGGAGGAGCCAGGTGGGAGGAGGGGGCGGGGCAAGCCAGGAGGGAGGGGGCCCGGTCTGACACCCCAGTCCCTGGTCCATCAAGCTCTTCAGGCACAGCTTTGGGGGGGGAGGGGTGTGACCCTGGGGGTAGGAGCCGGGAAGGAGGGGGCCCGGTCTGACACCGCAGCTCCTGGTGCCTGGTCCATCAGGCTCTCCAGGCACAGCTGGGGGGGGGTGACCCTGGGGGGGCGGGGCCAGCCAGGACGGAAGGGGCCCGGTCAGACACCCCAGCCCCTGGTCCATCAGGCTCTCCAGGCACAGCTTTGGGGGGGAGGAGCCAGGAGGGAGGGGGCGGGGCGAGGGAGGACCGCGGGGTGGGGAGGGCAGGGGCGGGGCTCCATGCTGGGGAGGGGGTCGCACGCCTCACCTTTGTACATGAAGACGAAAAGCTCCAGTAGGAAGTAGGTGGCGCTGTACCAGCCATTGAGAAAGAGCAGGATCTCCAGGGAGATGGACGACAGCCTGCGGCCTGGAAGGGGAGGCCCGAGGGCGGTGAGAGGCTGGGCCGCGTGCCCCCTACCGCCCTCGCCGTCCGTCCCCCGCCCGCCCGGGCTCCCCCGCGCTCACGGCCGCGGCCAAAGCACTCCTCGCCGTAGACCCATGGGGAACCCGAGGCCCGGGCGGGGGTCCCCCAACGCGGAGACTCACACACCTCGGGCAGCTCACCTCGCGGTGCCATCGCCACTCAGTCCCCATGGAAACTGCTGGCGCGGCGCCCGGGCTCCTGGAGACCAGCTAGGCACCCGCCGGAAGTGAGGGGCGGGGCGGGGCGGTGCCTGCCGGAAGGGCCGCTCTAGCTGGCGGCCGCTAGAGCTCGGTGGGTGTGGCCGTCCGAGCATGCGCCGAGGCCTGCTGCGCGGGGCGGGGGCGGGGCCTCTCGGGGGCGGAGTCTCCGCCTAGGGAAGGGAGGGGCGGAGGGAGCCTGGGTCTGCTCAGGGCAGAGGCATGGAGGGGTGGGGCGGAGACGGGCTGGGACGTCCTCCCCGGAGCCCAGCGGCCCCTCCCGGAGTCTTCTCTCTCCTCTGCACCCGATCGCGGTACCCTACGAGGTCCGCATTTGTTCCCCACAACCACTCTGGGGGGCGGGGCTGCTACTGCCCCCCTTTTACACCTGGGGACACTGAGGCAGGCAGCGGCGAGTCCAGAGACCCTCCTCCTGCGCAGGGCTCAGACCCACCCTCCCGTCTCAAAATGGGGCTCCGAGTCCGGTGCGCCCCTCCCCCCCAGACCCTCCTCGCGGATCCCGCTTCTCCTCCCTCCCTTTGGAGTCACACACGTGCCCGGCCCAGAAAGGGCCCCTAATTGTTGGGCCTCCCCCTACCTCTCCTCAGAGTGCATCCTTCCTCCGAAGGCGAAGGCAGAGCCCCGAGCACACCCTCCGTGCACAGGCGCGCACACACACAACCCCCCAGCACACCCTCCGTGTGCACACACACACACCCTCCATGTACCCTCCTTCACCTCTCAGCACACACCCCCGTGCACACCCTCCTCTCCTGCCTCGAGCCATTCCTGTACTCAGTTGAAGCCCCCTCCTACCTCCAGGACCAAACAGAAAACCCTCTGCTGGGCATCTAAAGCCCTTTACAGCCTTTACAATCTACAGGTCAGGCCAGGTGGCCTTCCTGCTGCTCCTTGCCCGAGGCTCCCTCTCCTTCCTTCATGCCTTTTTCCTGGCTGTGCCTCATGCCTAGAGTGCCATCCCTGCCTCCACCTCCTGGCTGCCTTGACTTCCTTTGAGCCTCAAACCTCACCTTCCGCAGAAGGCCGGCCTGTGCTCCCCCTCCCAGTGCCTCCTCTCTGGGACGGCCTCTGCTCTAGAGATGGTGTGTCCTGGGCGATTGGCAGGTGGTGTTAGGCCGGGAGCCCTTAAGGGCAGGGACTGGCTTGTCTGCTTTCTCTGTATCTTTTCTCTAAGGGAAGACGACATTCATATATAAATATTTACAAAAAAATACACCAATGCAAGGTCATTTTGCAAAGGACTTTTCTCACAGTCCTGTGAGGAGGTACTGGAAAGCATTTTCCCCATTTTACAGATGAAGAAACTGAGGCTAATAAAGGCTGAGACTTGGCCTTGAGTCCAGGTCCCTCCATGGGCTCCCCCATGGCGCCGGGGCTCACCACAGTATGGTTCCGTGCACACAGCAGGAATCAATAACTATTCCCCGGACTGGTGAGCTAGTCTAGGAACACAGATGTTCGGCCGGAGCAGGCTTACCAGACACTACATGCAATCTCATGTTCGACTTGGGGAAATCAGGGAGCCAAGGAGTGAAACGGCCCTTCAAAGGCCGGGTCTGCAGGGACTCTGCGGGCACCACCACGCACTGAGACAGAGAAGCCGGCCTCGGACATTTATGGCAAAAGGGATACATTTATTTCCTAGTTGTAGAAAAACATACGAAAAGGCTCTGGGCCTGGCGCCTGCATTCCCAAGTCTACGTCTGCCAGTGTGAATCTCTCCACAGAGAAGCTTCAGTAAATGCTCCAAGGTGGAAGAGCCTCTCATCGCAGCAACGAAGTCCAGGGACCCTGGGGCTCCAGGGGGCGGGACAGCAATAGGGAGTGAGAGCTCGCCTGGTCCTCCCCGCCCTCCCAGGCCCCAGGGGTGCAGCAGGCAGGGTTCGCACAGAGTGGCCAGCCAGGAGGCAGCCGGGCAGACGCTGCGTCTGGCTGACGGAGGAGAGGTCAGCTTCGGACTTGGGTGAATTCCTCGCGCAGCCACAGAGAATCCTGGTAGAACCGAGGATCGCCCAGGCGGATGGCGGTCCTCTTGTAGAAGTAGCAGTAGAGAACAGCAGCTGGGGACGATAATGGGAAAAAGGCCTTGAAGGTCCTCGCCTCCAGGCTGCTTCTCTGGAGAGATGAGGAGGGAGAGAACAGGACCCAAGCGCCCCCAGGCGAGGTGGCGGGAGGGGAAGGGATTGGGGCTTGGGGCGTGTCTCCACCTCCCTAGCCCTGGAGGCGTGAGGGGCGTGAGAGCTGTGAGGCCTGGGCTGCGGGGGGGGGGGGGGGGGGCTCGCGGGGGGAGGGGGACACGGTCCTTACCCAGTCTCTGAAACACAAACAGGGTTTGAAGGCCATCTGTCCAGATAAACTGCTTGGAGCTTTTCCAGCGCAGGTTCTGAAGGAGAGAAGCAATCATGGAAAAGCCGGCGATCGGAGTGTCCCTTGCTCTGGCTGTACTCCCCTTCTCCCCCAGCAGGGCTCGGGGTGCGCTGCCTAGCTCTTTTCTGTCCACAAACCCATGATGTTGCCAGGCCCAGTCCTCCCACTGACTGCCCCAGGAGCTCGGACCGCTCCACTCTGGCCACGCGGATGGCCTCCGATCCCTGGGGCTCACCGGGCTGAGGCCAAACTCGGTGCAGACACCCGAGTGGCAGAGCCCCGTCGTTCAGAACTCCCGGGCTCCCCTGGGATTACCGACAGTGCCACTGTTCCTGGGGGCACTTTCCTAATGGACTAACCAAGCTCCCTTTTACTGGCAAGGGATGATGGAGCGCAGCTGTTCCCCACGCGATGCTTTGTCGAGCACTTCACTGCTTCCCTCACCAGGAGGCCCGGTCCTGGGCCTCCTCCGCTTGTCTCCATGTCTGCTCCTGGTGGCCAAGGGCTCAGGTGTACTCGGAATTAAATAGCTGAGCTCAGCAGCTTTCCAAAATAGAAGCAGAACCTATTTTGGCTTCAGCAGGAAGATCCCAGAAAATCCTCTTATCTCCCCTGCCGGGTGGGTGGGCGGGCAGCGGGAGCCAAGGAGCTGGGCCGGCTTAGCACCATCCCACCAACACTAACTGACTTCCTTCTTGTGAGTTCTGCTGCTCTCCTTCTGAGCAGACGGGGGAATCCTCAGGATCCAGGCCTTCCCCTAAGCCTCCCTCTGGCAAGGCTCAGGTGGACTGTCCTGGAAGAGGCCGCTTCTCCTCTTCCTCAACAGTTCAAAGGGAGGGAGCTGACATTCTGCCGGAGGTTGTCAGGGTTGCTATTCTCCCAGAAAGCTCAACATGCCAAGTCAGCGGCCGCCTCCCGGATGTGAATGTTCCCACCACCCCTGGCCATCCCATGCCACTCCTGGCCAAGTCCTCCTGTAAGCTGCCTGCCGGCCTACCCCGTGTGCTGGGGGCCTCCGCCAGGCACAGGGCCTGCCCACTGATGCGGCAGCCCGGAACAGGGCCCACAGACCTGACTCGTAACGAGCTGGGTCATCCTGGGCCGGTCATTTCATTTCTCTTAGGCCTCTGAGAAGGAGGAAATGGCCTCTCCCCATGCAGGTTGGCCCCCTCTTTGCAACTTATCATCTTGGGGCGCTTCCAAGAGCCTTGATCCGGCTCACCCCACCAGGAGGCCTGTCCTGTAGCTCGTCATCATGGGCTGGGCCAGCCAGCTCACTCCCGCCCCGCACGTCTCCTTTGCCCTTGGAGGGATGTGTGATCGAAATGTCCCAGGAGGGCTCCCAGCCCTGCAAGACGGTGGGCTCCCCTCATAACTCCGCGTATCATGGGCACCATCCATCTAACAGGCTGATGCTGTGTGGGCAAGCGTGGCTGCACTGCTCTTTTCCTCTTTCTTTTTTAATCTCCATTCAAAGGGAGAGACTGATGGATGGTGATTTCTTTGGAAATAAAGACGATGTAAAAGCAAAAGAAATCATTAAATATAATACTTTTTTAAAAAGAAAAAATTAGAAGATGGTCCTTTGTTTCTGGTAGACGACTGAAGTCCTGAAGAAAGCTTTGCTATCTTCTGGAGGTCCTCCTTCTTTTCAATTCTGGGCCCAAATCATTGTCTATTTGCACCATCACATACATACACACACACACACACATATATACATACACATACATGTTCATACGTAGATGTATATAATGATGGATGCACTCTACAGATTGTCCATATGACTGCCTATCACAACAGGCAGTCTTCATCCACTTGGTTTTTCTTGTGTGGATGGTTACGCCAAACTCTTCGGAACCATTGTGGATCTCTTCTAGGAGGCCCTGCCGTGTTCTGGGGTTGCATGTAACCAGTATGGTGTCATCCATAAACAAGAGCATCTGGAGGACTTCACGAGAAGAAATCCCTCTTCACTGTAGACTCTGATCTCCTCTATGACAGTGGCCAATATTTTCTTCTGTTTGTTGTCCCTTCATTTCCACCATGGACTGCTCTTGGGAAAACTTTTCTTTTTTTGCGGGGGAGGGGTGCTGGGGAGGCAATTGGGGTTAAACGACTTGCCCAAGTCGTTTACGACTAGCAAGACAGCTAGCAAGTGTCTGAGGCCAGATTTGAACTCGGGTCCTCCTGTCTCCAGGGCCAGCACTCTATGCATCGTGCCATCTACCCACCCCAGAAAACTTTTCTTAATCTCTCACAAGGCTTTCTTTAAACTGGCTTTACCCTTCACTGCTTCTCTTTCATGAATAAAAAAAAAAATGAACTTCATTAGAACTTTCCATCATCTGCCTTGGTTTCTATAACACTTCTTTCTCTTCCTTTTTCTAACTCTTTGATTAATTGTTATGAATCCCCTCCTCACAAAGGTTGTGTTCTGGGCCTACTTTTCTCCTCTCTCTCCCTTCCCCTTCTTGGCGGTCCCATCGGCTCCTACAGGTTCTGTTATCATCTCCAACTGACTCCCAATCTTTAAATTCAATCCAAATCTGTTTCCTGAATTCCTGTGTTACTAATTGCCCTGGATATCCTGTACGCACCTCAAACTCAACTGGGAAAGAGTGGAGAAGCATTTAGTAAGTGCTTACTATATGCCGGGTACTGTGCTAACAGGTTCGAAATAAACCTCATTATTCAGTCTCCTCCACTCCAAAAGGCAGCCATGTCACTCCGTCCTCCTCCAGACATCTTCCAGCCAGCTGGGTTCCCAAACTAAGAGTCCTCCATGATTGTTCTCCTTCCCTCATCCTCAAGCCCCCCAGCACCCAGTTCTGCATGCCTACAGCTTCTAACCGGCTCCAAGGCCCATCGCCTCCTACTTGGCTCTTGGAAGACACCCAATGGGGCTCCCCACTTCTGGTCTCTATTTCCTCTGCCATCAATCCTCCACATAGCTGCCAAACTGATTGCTAAATGTCACTCCCCTCCTCAAAAATCCTCAAAGGTTCCCACTACCTCTAGGATCAAATACAAAACCCTCCACGACAGGGTTTCCGCTTAATTTTCCTCTCCTATTTCTCATTACTGGTGTTCCTCTCTGGCCCTGACATTCCAACTCGCCCGAGTTTGCACAGGCTGACCTTTCCACCTACAACCGCTCTCTCCTGAGCTCCACCTCTCATAACTTCTATGTTCCTTCAGAGCACATCTCAGGCACTCTTCCCTCCTCCACAAGGCCTTTTCTGACTCCACTGGCTGCTAGCATCGTCTCCCTCAACAATTTACTTGGCGTTTCCTCCTCTGCTGACATACTGTATCTCCCTAGGACAATGTAAACTCCTCATGGGAGCACAGGGCAAACAGCTCTGTTTTTTCCTTTGAATTCTCAGTATCTAGCACAGTGTCTCACACTTGTCAGATACTTAATACACCTTTTATTGCAATGACCTCAAGAGTGACCCGTGGTGCTTCCATTTTTACTTTTACAAATGACCATTCTCCTAACATGTGAGGAAAACGCCAGAAAATGGTCCTGTCCTCCTGCAAGATCATCACGTTGGAGAAAAAGAGGCTACCCTCTTGGACGTGCAGTTTTCTGCAAGAATCCACTGGCTGTGGGGAGTCCTCTCAAGGGTGTGGCGGTTGGAAAACTTGGTCTGGTGACTTGGCTTCAGACGACTCCTGCCAATGACCCTCTGGAAAATCAGCGGCTTTTTGTGACCCAGACTTTACCACTCGTTCAGGAGGAGGAGGCGGTGGCAAATTCCCTGTAAGCAGGGACTGATTGACTTTCCATCTGCGGAGCCCCGGTGCTCAGCGCCCAGCACCAATGAGGATTGGGTCATTTCCCAAAGTGGTGTGTTCTCTTTAAAGCAGAATCCTGAAACCATACGAAAGGTGGCTCCAAGTCATGAGTAAGAAGAGATATGAAGAACACCAAGACAACTCTCTGACTTCACACCCGGTCATGTAGCCAAGGTGCCACGACAGGGCCACGGTCGATGATGGACGGTGACAGAAAGACAGACAGATCAATGCCCTGCTGGTGGAATCGTCAGTTGGCCCAACCATCCGAACAAGCAATCTGGAATTATACTAAGAAGGTGACTAAACCGCTGCCACCTTTAGCCCAGAGGTTTCACTGCTGACAGAAACTCCAAAGTGCGAAGAGACCACGGACCCAGGGAAAGACTTCCGGTACACAAAAACATTTACAGCTGTTCTTTTTGTAGCAGCAAAGAATGAGGAACTGAGGAATGGCTCAACACCATGGAGCGTGAACATAAACAAAAACGACTACCATGTGATACGAAATGATGACTCGAGAAAAGCACAGGGAGACTTGGGAACTGATGCAAAGCGAAGAAAGCAGGACCAGGAAAAAATCACCACAGCAAAGTCAGTGAGAAGAACCGTGACAACCACGAGGGCGATGACAGCAGAGGCAAAACCAGCATGGGTCTGTGCAGTGGTGGGCTATGAGGAGACCTGAGGGCATGGAGCCCAGGCATAGCTGGCTGAGGCAGTGTTCGTTTGGTCCAACTTTCCCCCTCTCATTTTCATTCTGGACTGTCCAGCATGGTCCTCCGGGAGAGGGCCATGCACAAGGGGGTTTAAAAACAGAGAAAAGACTCAAGCAAACGGAAGAAACTTTGGCCCTCTGAGGACCTGCCACCCTGCCCCCATCCCAGCCCCTCACTTACCAGGACCCAGACATGGAGGGGTATGCTGAGAGACAGGTAGATGGCCGTCAGGATGATGGTCCCTTTGAACTTTCGGAAGAGGAGGCTAACGAGCCCAGCCTGGAACACGAAGGTGTTGAAGAACATGAGGAAGATGATGATGACATTGAAGAGGATGGCGATGTCTTGGATTCTGAGGAGGCACAAACAGAAAATAAGTGGAGGGGTGCATGGGTAGGTTCGGTCCAAGAAGCCCGTCCTGGCCCTCCCCAGGGTCACAGCGATGACCAGCACTGGCACCCTGACCTGCAGACTGAGGGGCAGCACCAGCTGGACCAGGTTCCCCCTCCCCTGGCCCTCCGGGGGTCGCAGCGGTGACCAGCACTGGCACCCTGACCTGCAGACTGCGGGGCGGGACGACTCACATGAAGAGCACCAGCTGGACCACGGGCGCCAGGCGCAGCAGCTCCGAGAAGGCGTTCACGAACAGGTCGTAGAGCAGCAGCACGAACTGCAGGGCCAGCACCAGGCTGTAGTTGCTCGTCTGCAGCATCTTCCCTCTGCAGGGCCCGGCCTGGGGGGCATCCCCCACGGGGCAGCGTCAAGCCTCGGGGCCCCCTCGACTCCTCCTGCCCGTTCTGGACCAAGAGACTGGGGTGGGGGGCGAGAGGGGGCGGGGCGTCGGTCAGGAAACCCCCCTCCCGACGCTGCAATCCCATGGCACCCGGGGAGGAGGGACGGGATGCCCCAACACTCAGCCCAAAGCTGTCCTTGGGGGCTCAGCTTACACGACCCACGCAATGTCCCGGGGTGAGCACGCCGGCCTGGCCGTGGTATCCCAGTCCGAACCCCGGCTCTGACAATGATGTCCGGGACTTGTGACTCGAGCCTCCGTTTCCCCGTCTGTCAAACGACAGCTCCTACCTCCGAGGGTGGGGCGATAGCGCTTTGCCAGCCTTAAAGCGCCACGGAAACGGGCACCGCCGCAGCCACAGTGCAGAAGGGGAAACGGAGGCTCGAGAGGGGCAGCGCCCGGCCCAAGGTCACCCCGCCGGGCTGCGGGGGACAACGGCTCACCGAGCCAGCTGACCTGACCGGACAAACCTCGGTAGCCCCAGGGTCCGTCCTCCCTTCCCCAATGCCTCCTTCCCAGTGCAGTGGATTTCCCTCTCACCTGGTGCTGCCATCCTAGGTTGTCATGGAAACCACAAAGGGCCCGCCCCACTTTCCGGAGGTAGCATTTAAATCCCGGAAGTGCGTGGGGACGCGCTCTCCGGGGGCCGCTCTAGCCGCCAGCCCCAGCGCGCCCCTCGATGGTCGAACCGGCGGCCATGTTCATATCCCCTCAGACAAAAGCGCCCAGCAATCGGCCTCTTTTACCTTCCACCCCTCTGGCTAAAGGCCCTTCCGGCCGATTACATTTCCGCCCGCCCCCTAGTTCCTGTCCCGCGCGGGGTGTGGTGGGAAGATACTGAGAGTGAGGGGAGCAAAACGAAAAGGAGGTCCAGCGACAGTTGGAGCACAGGAAGGGAACCCAAACGGAGGCGTA